CAGCAGCAGCAGCAGCAGCAGCAGCTGGAGGAAGAGGAGGTGGTGGAGCAGGAGGAGGAGCAGCGGCAGCAGCAGCAGGCGCAGCTGCGTTGTGCTGTTGAGTATCAGAGCAGTGAATTGCTTTTAGGGCCTCATCGGTTAGTGGTGCTGCAGAACGAGCGGAGGCTAGAGCCAGAGTCATGCTCGTTGCAATCAAACCCGTTGGAGTCACACCCGTTTGAGTGTCGTTACAATCAGACTGAGGCCGACGGTGTCTCGAGTGACGCTCTTCCTGCCCCGAGTCTGCTTGAAGTGCTGGCTGTTGCTGCTGCTGAGAGTGAGCGGGCTGATGGGGGGGCCAGCAATGGCAGGTGTGTGGGAGGGGATAAGGGTGGAATGGGAAGGGAGGATGGAAGAGTGGGAGGGGAGAGCGCGGGTGGGGTGGATGAGTGGGGTGGATGGATGGGTGGGGCAGGCGGGGCGAGGAGGTGGGGGGAATGGAGAGGGGAGGAAAGCTGGGGAGAGGGGGAGGAGCAGGAGAAGATGGAGGAGGGGGGAGGGGGGGGGGGAAGTGAGTGAGAGAGGAATAGATCTATCACAAGAGGGAGATGCAATTGATAGAGGATTCCTTTCACAGGACTCTCTTGGTTCTGAAGGGATGCACTCTCAGGATTCCCCGATGCTGGCACTGTTGTCTCTGGCGAACCTAGCTCACACCACGTCTGATTCTGCCGAACCTGCGTTTCTTGCCGGACCTACACCTCCTCCAAAGCTGGCCCCGATTCTGGAATCCGCTTCTCCTGCCGAGCCTGCTGCGGCCGCACCTCCACCCGAGCCTGTGCCTGCACTCAAACCTGCTTCAGAATCTTCTCCTGGACACCTGTCTAAGCGTTCCCTGTTGTTTGAAGCCCCTCAGGAGGATAAGGAAGAGGTGGGGGAGGAAGCAGAAAGGATCAGGGAGGAGGAGAGGGAAGAGGAGGAGAAGGAAGTGGAGGTGAAGGAGGAAGTAGAGGGGAATGGTGATGAGGAGGAGGAAGAAGGGGAAGAGGAAACACAGTTCGAGAACCCGTGGGACCTGATTCTGAACGTGCATGCATCTTCAGGGTCTGACTCTGGGAGTGAAGGAGGGGGGGAGGAACAGGAAGAGAGAAGGGGAGAGAGCGGGGGAGGGAGAAAAAAGGAGCCGGGAATCGTGTCTGAGGGGGTGCTGGAGGAGTTACCAGTGCTACAGGGCGTGTTCAAGCTTCCGAGACCAGAAATTTCGACTTTTGAGCCGACGCCGGAGAAGGGTGGGAGGGGAGGTGCTGGCGGTGGTTCTGATGCTGAGGAGGATGACGAGGAGGATGCGGATCCTTGGAGCCTGGATTCGCTGCCGTGTGGTGACGTGGCAGGTGTGGCTGACGTGACAGGTGTGGCTGACGTGGCAGATGTGGCTGACGTGGCAGGTGTGGCTGACATAGCAGGTGCAGGTGGTGTGGCAAATAGGGGAGTAGGGAGAGGGAACGAAGTCACCAGGGGAGGAGGCAGAGATGGGAGTAAGGCGAAGGAAGGAGGGGAGGGAATGGGGAGGGAGCGGGAGGAGGTTGCGGCAGTAGTGGAGGCTGGCGATGTAAATGCAAGGGATTCGGGTAATGCAAGGGATGCTGGTTTGAGTTGTAAAGGTACAACTGATGGTGGTGAGAGTGTGCGTGAGGAGAGTTCTTCTAACGGGGAAAGTGCTTATAGTAAGGACGCAAGTGGTGCGGATATGAGTGGTGCGGATATGAGTGGTGGGGATTCGTTTATCGATCTTGCATCTGATACAACTGAATCAAGTGCCGAAGCTGCTGTTGCTGCTGGTGATGAAGGTTCAACTGTTGAAGTTACAGGTGCTGAGAAACTTCCTGAGAAATCACCTGAGAATCCACCTGAGGATATGCCTGGGAAATTCCCTGCTGGTGTTTCAAGTGGTGCAACTGTCGCAACGGCTGGAGTTACTGCAGCCAGTGCTGATGCGCCACCTGGCGTGCTCCAATTCGCGACCAAAGAACAGCCAAATCTGCTGACGTATTCAAGGAAGAAGGCAGGGGGTGGTGCGAGTGCAAGTCAAGAGGGGCTTGGTGCTGATGTGAGATCGAAAGGGGGAGAAGAGGGAGTGAGAGAAGGAGGGGCCAATGCTCCTGTGGCAGCAAATGGGGCAGGTGCATCTGGGACAGGTGTATCTGAAGCAACAGGGAAGGCAGCTGTATCTGTAGCAGCAGGGAAGGCAGGTGTACCTGTAGCAGCAGGAAAGACAGGTACATCTGCAGCTGTGCGAATTGCTGGAGCTGCAGGTGTAACCGAGGGAGGTGTACATGCCACTGCAACTCAGGTGCTTGTGCCAAGAGCAGGAGTGGCTGTATGGGGGAGGGGACGAGGGATGGCTGTGGGGGGACGGGGGCAAGGGGTTGTGATGGGAGCAGGTGGGGTGTTGTTAGCAGGGAGGGGAAGGGGTCTGGTGAGTGGGCGGACAGGAGGAAGGGTTGGTGGGAGGGGCAGAGGGGGCCTTGTGTGGAACCGGAATGCTGCCGCTGGTGCTGCTGGTGCAAGTGCTCCTAATGCTGGTGCTGCTGGTGTGCCATCTAGTTCAGGTGCATATAAGAGGCCTGCATTCCCTGCTGCTAGCAAGAAGCTCACGTACTCTCTTGCTGCTGCTACAGCCGCTGCTGCCGCTACAGCTGTTACAAGTGCTGCAGCTGCTACAGCTGCTACAGGTGCTGCAGCTGCTACAGCTGCTACAGCTGCTACAGCTGCTGCAGCTGCTGCAGCTGCTGCAGCTGGAAAGGTTACGTCTGCCGCTACCGGGACTACGAAACCCGTGGCTACTCCTGTAGCAGCTGTAGCAGCTACAAGTGGGAAGCTAGGCGCCCTTGCTGGGGGAGCTACAGCTGTAGCAGCTGCTACAGCCGGGCATGCGGGCATATCTGTGGGCCGGCCTAAGCTGGTTGTTAGACGGCTTGTGCCTGCTAAAGCTTCCAAGGCCCCTGGTGCTGCTGCTGCTGCTGCTGCTGGTTCTGCTACTGCCGGTGCTGCTGCTGTGGGTGCTGGTCCTGCTGCTGGTGGTAATAGTGCTGCTGCTATTGCTGCAGTTGAGGCTGCTGCCGCTGCCGCTGCTGCTGCTGCGGCGGCTAAGGCTGCTACTGGTGCTGCTGCTGCTGCCCCTGCAAAGGAGGTCCCATCGCCTGCCCCCTCCACCCCGAAAAAGAATCCCTCTCGTGCCCTGCCAACCCCCAAAAAGGCATCTCCCTTCACGACTGTCTCACCTTCAACTTTTGTCTCCCGCCGCTCCACCGCTGCTTCCATTGCCGCATCAGTCGGTGCTGCGGCCTTCAACCGGAGGTACGTGTGTGCATGCAGCACCCCTGGCGTGTGCGCATGCAGCACCCCTGGCGTGTGTGCATGCAGCACCCCTGGCGTGTGTGCATGCTGCACCCCTGGCGTGTGTGCATGCTGCACCCCTGGCGTGTGTGCATGCTGCACCCCTGGCGTGTGTGCATGCTGCACCCCTGGCGTGTGCGCATGCAGCACCCCTGGCGTGTGTGCATGCTGCACCCCTGGCGTGTGTGCATGCTGCACCCCTGGCGTGTGTGCATGCTGCACCCCTGGCGTGTGTGCATGCTGCACCCCTGGCGTGTGTGCATGCTGCACCCCTGGCGTGTGTGCATGCTGCACCCCTGGCGTGTGTGCATGCTGCACCCCTGGCGTGTGTGCATGCTGCACCCCTGGCGTGTGCGCATGCAGCACCCCTGGCGTGTGTGCATGCAGCACCCCTGGCGTGTGTGCATGCTGCACCCCTGGCGTGTGCGCATGCAGCACCCCTGGCGTGTGTGCATGCTGCACCCCTGGCGTGTGTGCATGCTGCACCCCTGGCGTGTGTGCATGCTGCACCCCTGGCGTGTGTGCATGCTGCACCCCTGGCTGTATCATCAAGGTATGTCCTTCTGGCTTTCACTCAAAGGCACATGTCTCCCGCCGCTCCACTGCTGCTTCTATCGCCGCATCCGTGATGCTGCGGCCTTCAACCGATGGTATGTACATACGGCACACCTGGCCTTAACATTGAAGTAAACCCCCCAAAAGGCTTGCCCTTCACGACTGTCTCACTTTCAGCTTCTGGCCCCCGCCGCTCCACTGCTGCTTCTATCGCCGCATCTGTCGGTGCTGCGGCCTTCAACCGGAGGTGAGCAAGCACACTCCCTTGACGTTAGCTTCAAGATAAGCATTCCGCCGCTCCAAGCCTTCTGATAGAAGGATGTGCTTTGCCTGTTTTAAGACGTCTCAAAACACGTTAGCTTCAAGATAAGCATTCCGCTGCTCCAAGCCTTCCAATAGAAGGATGTGCTTTGCCTGTTTTGAGACGTCTCAAAACACGTTAGCTTCAAGATAAACATTCCGCCGCTTCAAGCCTTCTGATAGAAGGATGTTCTTTGCCTGTTTGATAGGTCTCCCCTCCCGCACTACCTCTCGCTCTCGCTTCTCTTGCAACAAAACCCTGTCACCCACCAACCAACCTGCCGCCCTGGCCTGCCCCTCTCTATTCCTCTCTCTTCCTCTCCCACTGCCGCTCCAAGCCTTCGGATACCTGGATGTGTGCATTGCCTGCTTGATATGTGAAGTGAGGGTGTTTTTGAGACTTCCCCACTGCCGCTCCAAGCCTTCTGATACCTAGATGTGCTTTGCCTGCTTGATATGTCTCACCTCCCACAACATATGTGATCCACATTTTAAAATTCCTAAAAATGATGTAACAACCTCTCGCTCTTGTGTCTCTTGCAACAAAACTCTGCCACGTCACCCACCAATCCCTGCTGCACCTCCCTGTCCCTGCTGCACCTCCCTTTCCCTGCTGCACCTCCCTGTCCCTGCTGCACCTCCCTGTCCCTGCTACACCTCCCTGTCCCTGCTGCACCTCCTTGTCCCTCTCCCTGTCCCTCTCCCTGTCCCTCTCCATTCCTTCTCTTCCTCTCCCTCTATCACGCTTTCTCCCTCTCTCATTCTCTCAGATTCGTGGCACAGCAGCTTTACACGCGCTCCTCCTCAGGCTTCTCGCTTCGCCGCTCAGGTGCGTGCTTGTGCTCTTTTGCTCGCTCGTCCGCTCTTTGTGAAATAATTTTCGAGGCGCCTCAAAAGCCGCTCAGGTGCTCGCTTGTGCTCTTTTGCTCGTCCGCTCTTTGTGAAATCTTTATCTTTCCTTCTCTTCGTTTTCAATTTTAGGGATGTCTTAGAAAGGTGCTCATGTGTTTGGGCTCTTTCGTACCTCTGCTCGTTTATAACTTGATGTTCAAATGCAGCAACAACAGGTTTGAAAGGAGCTGGAGTGACTTCATTTCTCATGCTCCGCATGTTTCTGCCCTACCCAACTGGAAGGCTTTGTAGCAAATGTTTTCTCGTTTTGGTCTGGTGTTTGCTTGTTTATTTGCTGCTGCTACTGCTGCTGCTACTGCTGCTGCTGTTGCAGGTGTGCGGGCAGCACGTGGTGCGAAGAGCCTGCAGTGGAGCAAGGAGCAGCAGGAGCAGGAGAAGAAGGCTAGAGAGGTGAGAGGAAAGAGTGAGGGGAGAGGAAGAGAGAGAGGTGAGAGAAGAAAGTGAGGTGAGAGGGAGAGAGGTGAGAGGGAGAGAGGTGAGAGGAAGCGAGAAAGGTGGGGGAGAGTGAGGTGAGAGGAAGAGAGAGAGGTGAGAAAAGAAAGTGGGGTGAGAGAGAGTGAGGTGAGAGGAAGACAGGGGTGGGGGAGAGTGACGTGAGAGGAAGAGATATAGGTGAGAGAAGAAAGTGGGGTGAGAGAGAGTGAGGTGAGAGGAAGAGAGGAAGGTGAGAGGAGAGAGGAGAGAGTGAGAGGTGAGAGGAGAGAGTGAGAGGTGAGAGGAGAGAGTGAGGCAAGAGGAAGTGAGAGTGGTGAGAGGAAGTGAGAGAGGAGAGGAAGCGAGAGAGAGAGGAGAGGAAGCGAGAGAATGGAGAGGAAGCGAGAGAGGGGAGGAAGCGAGAGAGGGGAGAGGAAGCGGGAGAGGGGAGAGGAAGCGGGAGAGGGGAGAGGAAGCGGGAGAGGGGAGAGGAAGTGGGAGAGGGGAGAGGAAGCGGGAGAGGGGAGAGGAAGCAAGAGAAAGGAGAAGAAGCGAGAGAGAGGAGAGAGAGAAGAGGAATTCCTCTCCTCTCCTCTTTTCTCTCTTGTCCTTTCCTCTCTTCTTTCCTCCCTCTCCTTTCCTCTCCTCTCTCTACTCCTCTCTTCTCCTTTCCTCTCCTCTCCTCTCCTCTCTCCTCTCCTCTCGTCTCCTCTCCCCTTCACTCCTCTCCTCTCCTCTCTCTACTCCTCTCTTCTCCTTTCCTCACTTATCCTCTCCTCTCCCCTCCTCTCCTCTCCTTCTCCTTTCCTTCCTCTCACACTTTCGTTCTCCCACATTTTATCTTCTCTACCTGAGGAGGCAGCAGCAGAATCTTCCAGGAAGCAGCGACAGTGGAATGAAATCACAGATGGGAATAGCAAGGATGCCTGACTTCCTTCTTTCTAGTTGTCTTTTTTTTCTTTCTTTCTTTCTTTCTTTAGTTTTTTTTTTTCTTTCTTTCTTTCTTTAGTTCTTTCTTTCTTTCTTTCTTCAGTTTTTTTCTTTCTTTCTTTCTTGAGTTTTTTTCTTTCTTTTCTTTCTTTAGTTTTTTCTTTCTTTCTTTCCACTCTACTGTTGCGTTTTCCTCTCCTTTGGATCCTTCAGGAGGCCACCAAGGCAGCGGCGGAAGCTTCCAGGAAGCATCAACAGCGCAAAGAGGCAGTGGAGAAAGCAAAGAAGGCGATTGCAAGGAGCCAGGCGGAGCAGCGGGCTAAGAGGCGGGCAGAAAAAGAGCGCATCCGGGCAGAGAACGCAAAAGTTAAGGCTGCCCGGATGGCTTCCCGGGCGGCGGCAAAAAAAGCCGGTGCTGCTATTCTGGCAGCAAGGCGGCAGCAGAGTGAGTGTGTAAGGGGAAAGGAAAAAGGAGAGGGTTGGGTGCATCTGCTGGGAGTGGTTGTGGGGGAAGGATTGTGGCTGCACAGGTGTAGAAGGAATCGGTTCCGCACCTCAGTTTTATGGTTTCAATATTCTACTCTGACCCCTCCTCATTCCTCTCCACCCCTCCTCACACCTCTCCACCCCTGCAGCCACGGTGTTTCAGGGGTCCTCAGTATATCGACTGGCAGCCAAGGGCCGCTCGCTTGTGCGCCTCAGCAGTGAGTAAAGGGGGGATGCTGAGAGGTGCTGGGGGGTGCGGTGTGGTGTTCCGGAGGTCCTCAGTGTATCGACTGGTAGCCAAGGGCCGCTCGCTCGTGCGCCTGAGCAGTGAGTAAAGGGGGATGCTCGTGGGTGCTGCTGGGTTGAGGGGGTGCTCGAGGCGTTGGGAGGGAGCTAGGGAGTTTGAGTTCAGGGTGGTTGGGGCAAACAGTTGACTTTTGAGTCGACTCAAAAGTCAACTTGGGAGCTAGGGAGTTTGAGTTCAGGGTGGTTGGGACAAACAGTTGACTTTTGAGTCGACTCAAAAGTCAACTTGGGAGCTAGGGAGTTTGAGTTCAGGGTGGTTGGGGCAAACAGTTGACTTTTGAGTCGACTCAAAAGTCAACTTGGGAGCTAGGGAGTTTGAGTTCAGGGTGGTTGGGACAAACAGTTGACTTTTGAGTCGACTCAAAAGTCAACTTGGGAGCTAGGGAGTTTGAGTTCAGGGTGGTTGGGGCAAACAGTTGACTTTTGAGTCGACCCAAAAGTCAACTTGCGAGCTAGGGAGTTTGAGTTGAGGGTGGTTGGGGCAAACAGTCATGCAATGCCTCAAGGGCTGTTCGCTCGTGCGCCTGAGCAGTGAGTAGGAGGGGGAGGGCTGGGGACGGGGGGAGACGTCTCAGGAACCATTCGCTTGTGCGCTTGAACAGTGAGTAGAGGAGAGGGAAGGAAGGGAGGGGTTTGAAAAGTCTCAGAACACTGCTTTTATCACGGGACTAAAGAAGACGTTCTGAGAACCGTCTGCTTGTGCGCCTTAAGAGTGAGTACTTGGGGGTTGCTGGAGGAGTTGCAACATTTAGGGGTTGTCCTCGTGTGCAGACATGCAATGCGTTTCACAATGCCTACTTTCCTTATATAGTGCTGTGCGCGGATATTCTTGATCAGCTGTGCTATTTTGCTTTCCCCTTCCCAGCAGGCGGTTCAGCCAAGGACAAGTCGCCACGTGGCAAGGCACACGCACACGCACACCTGCCAGTGCCGCTCACTGCTGCTCTCACTGCCACGAGCTATCAGCGTGCTGGCAGGCAGGGCAACCAGCTGGTGCGGGACTCCAAGGCTGCCATGCGCACTGCTGCCGGGTCAGTTGTGTGAGAATGGACTGTTATGTCGAATCACGAACCACACTTGCCCGTGCCTCTCACTGCTACACTGCACCAGCTGCTGCCACCAGCCTCCAGCCACGAACTACAGGCGTGTGGGCAGGCAGGGCAACCAGCTGGTGCGGGACTCAAAGACGGCCATGCGCACCGCTCCTGGGTGAGTCGGGTGCGAGAGAGGGCCCTTATGATCCCAAACCTGTCTATCAGGGGGCATTGTTCTTGTGCTCTTGCTGCCAGGAGTTACCGGCGTGTGGGCAGGCAGGGCAACCAGTTGGTGCGGGACTCCAAGGCCGCACCGCTGCTGGGTGAGTGAGTCGTGTGTGAGAGGGGCATTTGGCATTCCTTCTGCTTTCGCTGCCACCAGCTACAGGCGTGTGGGCAGGCAGGGCAACCAGTTGGTGCGGGACTCCAAGGCGGCCATGCGCACCGCTGCTGGGTGAGTGAGTCGTGTGTGAGAGGGGCATTTGGCATTCCTTCTGCTTTCGCTGCCACCAGCTACAGGCGTGTGGGCAGGCAGGGCAACCAGTTGGTGCGAGACTCCAAGGCGGCCATGCGCACCGCTGCTGGGTGAGTGAGTCGTGTGTGAGAGGGGCATCTGGCATTCCTTCTGCTTTCGCTGCCACCAGCTACAGGCGTGTGGGCAGGCAGGGCAACCAGTTGGTGCGGGACTCCAAGGCGGCCATGCGCACCGCTGCTGGGTGAGTGAGTCGTGTGTGAGAGGGGCATCTGGCATTCCTTCTGCTTTCGCTGCCACCAGCTACAGGCGTGTGGGCAGGCAGGGCAACCAGTTGGTGCGGGACTCCAAGATGCCGTAGCACACCTTCGTGCCTCCCACTGCACCTCTCACAAGCACCTGCTACCCGCCTGTGACTTTTGAGTCAACTCAAAAGTCACCTTTTGAGTCGACTCAAAGGGCAGGGCACAAACAGAGCACACCTTCGTGCCTCTCACTGCACCTCTCACTGCACCTCTCACTGCACCTCTCACTGCACCTCTCACGAGCACCTGCTACCCGCGTGTGGGCAGGCAGGGCAACCAGCTGTTTCAGGACTCAAAGGCCTTTGTAGCGGGGCAGCGGCATGGGGCGGGGTGGGGCAGCAGCACGGGGCGGGGTGGGGCAGCAGCACGGGGCAGGGTGGGGCAGCAGCACGGGGCGGGGTGGGGCAGCAGCACGGGGCGGGGTGGGGCAGCAGCACGGGGCGTGGTGGAGAGTGGTTGTGTTCTCACACCACGCGCCACACGCATGCTGAGCGGGGAGCTGGGAGGGGGAGCGGGGAGCTGGGAGGAGGAGCGTACATTGCAACCCCCACTCCCCCCTCCCCGCTCTTCTCCCTTCCTTCCACCCACCCCGCTCTGCCCTCGTCCCTTTCCGTTGACCAACCACCCTCCGCTCCCGCTCTCCAATCCGCATCTCCCCTTCCTTCCCCTCTTTTCCTTTCCCAACCCCTCTCCCTCCGATCACATCAGGGCTCGAGTGCGCTACAGCCTTCAAAATGCGCGCTACAGGCGGCAGAAGCAGCAGCAGCAGCAGCTGTGCCAGTACTTCACTCGGCTGGGGCAGTGCAGCAAGAAGGATTGCCGTTTCCTGCACGATGCGAGCAAAGTGGCGTTATGTGTGCGGTTTATAAGGGGGATGGAGTGTGACGAGTCTAGATGCAAGCTCACACACAAGGTAAGTGTGAATACTGGATGGTGTGTAATCACCGGACCGGATCACCTCAAATCAAACCAAACCAAGCCGCCTCTTTTCTTAAAATTTGAAACTGTTTGTTTCGAACTGGTCACTCAGGTCGTCGTAAACCCGACGCAACTGCACCTTCCGAAGAGTGACTATACTTTCCCCCCGTATCGATCTCCTCGCCCCTCCCTTTTCTATTCTCTCTCTCTGCAGATCATCCCAGAGCGTATGCCCGATTGCACCTTCTTTTCCAAGGGTGAGTCTGTCAGGTCAGGTTGTGCCCTGCTAGGTTATTTGTGTGTGATGCACTAGCTTGGCCGTGCACCCGCAAGTCCCTAGTCTGGCTCTTATTTCACGCGACTTGTTTTGAACCTACGCGTTGTGCAGCAACAAGCCGTGTGTATATTGCCATGTGAAGCTCCCAGCACCCACCCCCGTGTGCCCTGATTTTCTCAGCTCACTTGATCTCTCTGCTTTTATACCCAGTAACAGCCCACCACCCCACTCCCGCCACCCCGCCTCTTTCCCACACCAGGCACCTGCAGCAACAAGCCATGCGTGTATCGCCATGTGAAGCTCCCAGCAGACACCCCCCCGTGCGCTCAGCTCACCCAAGCTCACCGCCATTGGCTCCCCCCTTCTCCCTCCCTTCCCCCACCAGGCACATGCAGCAACAAGCCATGCGTGTATCGCCATGTGAAGCTCCCAGCAGGCACCCCCGTGTGCCCCGCTTTTCTCAGGGGATACTGCGAGAAAGGGCTTGCGTGCACACAGCAGCACACGTATGATTGTCCCGAGTTTGCTTCTAAAGGGGATTGCGCAGCAGGGAAGAAGTGCAGGCTTTGGCACAGGAAGAAGGCAGAGGAGGGGAGTGGCAAGGGGGGGGGTAAGAAGAGGAAGAAAAGATACTGGGAAGAGGAAGAGGGGGAAGAGGAGGAGGAGGTGGAGGGGGAGAACGAAGCAGGTGGCAAGAAGAAAAGAGTGAAGCTGGGGGGAAAAGAGGGGGAGGAAAGCGAGGTGAGCGAGGGGAGTGAGGGGAGTGAGGGGGAGGGGGAGAAAGGGGGGAGGAGGAAGGGGAAGGGAGGGAAGAAGAGGAGTGTTGGGAAGAGGAGAGGTAAAAACGTTTTGAAGTTTTTTGGTGGTGATAGTGAGGAGAGTGAGGAGGGGAGCGAGGAAGGGAGTGAGGAAGGGAGTGAGGAAGGGAGTGAGGAGGAGAGGGAGGAGGGGAGTGAAGAGGAGAGGGAGGAGGAGAGTGAGAAGGAGAGTGAGGAGGAGAGAGGGGTGGAGAATGAGGAGATGGAAGTGGATGGTGTGGAGGAAGGAAAGAAGCAGAAGAGCAGAGGAAAAAACATTTTGAAGCTGTTTGGTGGTGATAGTGAGGAGGAGGGGGAGGAGGAGAGTGAGGAGGAGAGGGAGGAGGGGGAGGAGGAAGGGGAGGAGGAAGGGGAGGAGAGGGAGGAGGAGAGGGAGAAGGAAAGGGATGAGGAGGAGGAGGAGAGGGAAGAGGAAGAAAATAAGAGCAAGGGTGGGAAACGTAGAGCGAAAAGTTTGTTAAAGTTGTTTGGTGGGGATAGTGACGAGGAGGAGGAAGAGGAGAGTGAGAAGGAGGGTGAGGGGAGTGAGAAGGAGAGTGATGGGAGTGAGAAGGAGAGTGATGGGAGTGAGAAGAAGAGTGAAGAGAGTGAGAAGGAGAGTGAAGAGAGTGAGAAGGAGAGCGAGGATGAGTATCAACCGGAGAATGAAGATGAGAGTGAGGAGTGGGATGGTGGGGAGGGGGAGGAGACGGAAGTGGGGGTTGAGGAGGCGAACGGAGAGAGGAGTGGGGAGGATAATGAAGAGAGGAGTGGGGAGGAGAATGAAGAAGAGAGTGAGGAGGAAAAAGAAAGCAAGGGTGTGAAGAGCAGTCGAAGAACTGCTTTGAAGGTCATTGGTGGGGATAGCGAGGAAGAGGATGAAGAGGAGAGAGAAGAGAAGAGGGTAGAGGAGAGGGAGGAGCATGAGAGGAAGGAAACGGAGGAGGAAAGGGAAGGGGACGAGGAGCGAGAGGGGAGTGAGGAGGAAGGGGAAGAGAGGGTGGAGGAGCGTGAGGGGGACGGGGGAGGAGAGAAGGAAGAGGAGAGGGAAGAGAGGAGGGGTGGAGAGCGAGGAAAGAAGGGAAAAGGGAATAAAGGGATGAAGAAAGGTAAGCAGGTGGAGAGGACGGATGAAGAGAATGAGGAGGTATGGGAGGAGGAGAGGGGTGTAGTGGGAGGGAAGAAGGGAAGAAGGTTGAGATTGATGAAAGGAGGGAAGAAGGTGGAGATAAGATGTGAGGATAGTGAGGGGGAATGGGAGGAGGCACAAGATGAGGCTGGCTGGGAGAGGGATGTAGAAGGAGAAAAGAAGGGAAGAATGTTGAGATTGATGAAGGGAGGGAAAAAGGTGGAGGTAAGAAGTGAGGAGAGTGAGGAGGAAGGGGAGGAGGCATGGGTGGAGAGGGGTGGAGTGGGTGGGAAGAAGGGAAAAGGGAATAAAAAGGCGAAGAGAGGAGGAAAGGTGAAGAGAGGAGAAAAGGTGAAGAGGACGGGTGAAGATAGTGAGGAGGAAAGGGAAGAGGAAACGAACGAGGGGAGGGATGGAGAAAAGGAGAAAAGGGGGAGAAAGAAGAAAGGGAAGAATGGAGGTGAAAAGCTGGAAACGAGGGGCGAGACGACCGAGGAGGAAGGGGAGGAGATTGAGGAGGCATGGGAAGAGGTGGGCGGTGGGGAGGAAGGGAAAAGGGGAAGACAGAGAAACGGGAGAAAGAAAGGTAAAGGGGTGGAGAGGAAGGATGAGGAGATTGATGAGGAGAGGGAGGAGGAGAGGGAGGAGGAGACGGGTGGAGAGAGAAAGAAGAAGGGAAGCGAGAGTAAAAAGATGAAGAAAGGACGAAAGGGGAGTAGGAGAGGTGGGGATGGTGATCAGGAGAGGGAGGAGGATAGGGAGGAGGAAAAGGAGGAGGAACGCGAGGGCAAAAGGGAGGAGGATGAAAAGGAGGTGAGGGAGGAGGTGACGGTTAAGTTGCAAGAGAAGAAGGGGAATAGAGATAAGCGGGTGAAGAAAGGAAAGAATGTGGTGTTTGTAGGTGGGGAGAGTGAGGAGGAAAGGGAATTGGAGATGGGTGAAGAGAAGGGGAAGAAGGGAAGTAATAAGAGAGGGATGAAGAAGGGGAAGAAGGTGGAAAGGAAAGGTGTAGAGAGTGAGGAGGAAGAGGAGGGGATGGAGGAGGTGGAGGAGGACAGGGAGGCAAGGGATGAAAGGGGAAGGAAGAAGAAAGAAAAGAAGAGTGGGAAGAAGAAAGGTCAGAAGGTTGAGAGGGAGGAGGAGAGACGTGAGGAGGACAGGGAGGAGGATATGGCTGAAGAGGGAGGAAGGAAGAAAAGCAAGGATAAAGGGAAGAAGAAAGGGAAAAGGGTCAAGCGAAGGCATGAGGAGGAAAAGGAGGAAGGGGAGGAGGAGGAAAGGGATGAAAGGGAAGAGGAAGGGAAGGAGGATGGGGAGGCGGAGGAAAGGAAAGAAGGGGAGGAGGAAAGGGAGGAAGGTGAGGAGGAGGAAAAGGAAGGAGAAGAGGACGAACGGGTAGAAGGGGTGGAAGAGGCAGATCAGGAGATGGAGGAACAACTTGAGGCGAGAGGGAGCGAAGAGAGCGAGAGAGAGGCGAGGAGAGAGGCGAGGAGGAGGCGGCGAGAGAAGAGAAAGGAGGAGAGGTTTGTCATGGCAGCTGTGGCAGCGGCAGTGGCTGCTTCTGCTAATGATGCTGCTGCTACTGCTGCTGCTGCTGCTGCTGCTGCTGCTGCTGCTGCTGCTGCTGCTGCTGCTGCTGCTACTGCTGCTCGTGATGGTGATATGGAGGTGCTTGTTGCTGCTCCCATGTCGTCTGCTGTACACACTGCCTCATGCACACAGAAGGGCAAGGGTAAGAAGGGAAGGAAAGTTGCTCCTGAGCCTCAGCCAGAGCCTGAGAGTAGAATTTCTGACACTCCTGCTGCTACTGCTGCTATTGCTGCTGCCACTACAGGCTCAAGCCCCTTGCTTGCAGGCTCAAGCCCCTTGCTTGCAGAGCCGGGTCCTGCAGTAAAGGGCAAGGGTAAGGGTAAGAAAAAGAGGAGGGTGGCTTTTGAACCTGAAGTGTCGGTTCCTCCTCTTCCTCCTCTCCCTGCAGCAGCAGCTGCTGCTGCCCCAAGTCCCCCTGACTTGGAAGGAACGCCCTCTGATGCCGAAGCAGCGCCTGCACCTAGAGGCAAAGGCAAGGGGAAGAAGCAGAAGAAGGTGAAGAAGGCTGCTGCGCTGCCTGCTGCCGATGCTGATGCTGCTGATGATGATGATACTGATGATGTGGAAACTCCTGCTGTTTCAAACTCCTTGGACGCAGAAGCAGCCTCAGAACAGAAGAGCAAGGGTAAGAAGAGGAAGAGGAAGGCTGGTGACGAGTCTGAGCTTGAGAGTTCTGCTGCTGCTGCTGCTGTTGCCGATGGTGCTGCTGCTGATACTCAAAGCCCCTGTGATGTGGAGGTGGTTTCACCTGAGCCAAAGCGCAAGGGCAAGAAGAAGAAGAGGAAAGCTGGTGATGAATCGGGGCTTGAAAGTTCTGCTGCTGATGTGGAGGTGGTTTCAGAAGCGCGAGAGGCGGAAGCAGAGGCAGCAGCCGATGTGGAGGTGGTTTCAGAGGCGCCTAAGAGGAAGGGCAAGAAGAAGGGGAGGAAGGTTGTTGAAGAGTCTGAGCTTGATAGTTGTACTGCAGCAGCTGCTGCTGTTACCGATGCTGCTGATGCTCCTAGCTCCTGTGAAGTGGAGAAAGTAACAGAGGCTCCAGAGGGGGAAGCAGAGGCAACACCTGATGTGGAGGTAATTTTACCAGCAGCTAAGAGCAAGGGCAAGTACAAGAAGAGGAAGGCTGGTGGTGGGACTGAACTCGCGAGTTCCGATGCTGTCGATGCTGCTGCTGCTGCTGCTGCTGCTGCTGCTGCTGCTGCTGCTGCTGCTGCTGCTGCTGCTGCTGCTGCTGCTGCTGCTGCTGCTGCTGCTGCTGCTGCTGCTGCTGCTGCTGCTGCTGCTGCTGCTGCTGCTGCCGCTGCTGCTGCCGATGCTGATGCCGTTGCTGTTAATGCTGCTGATTCTGCTGCTGCTGCTGCTAATGCTCTTGCTGATGCCCCTGCTGATGGTAGTGCTGCAACTGCTGATCGGACCTGTGTTGCTGTGCCAAGCCCTGCTGCTGATTCTCCAAGTTCAGCTGTTGCTGGCGGGCAGGCTGGCGGGCAGGTTGCTCAGGGCGCTCGACCCAAGAAGAAATCTTTCATAGACTTTGTGAGGAGGCTGAAAGTGGCAAAGGGGGGCGAGGGGATGGGGAGCGGGGGAGTGGGGGGCGATGGCGCAGAGGCTGGAGCAGAGGCGGAGGGGGGTGGAGAGGGGAAAGGTGGGGAGGTGGGGGATGGTGGGGGGGGAGATGGGGAGATAAGGGGTCATGGGACGGGGATTGGGGAGGACACAAATGGGGTGAGTAAATATGGGGAGGTAAAGGATGGGGGGAAAGGGGATGGCACTAGTAGGGTGGTGAAAGGAGGGGATGATCCATTAGGTGGTGGAGGCGGATGTGGGGCAGGTAGACCTGGGGAAGGTACATCTGTGGCGAATGGCAGTGTGGTGCTGCTGCAAAGCAGTGTGCAGGCCACCAAACCTCGCGTTGCGGGCCGGTACTTTGCAGAAGAGGAAGAGGACGAGGAGGCGAGAAAGAGGGCCGAACGTGAGGCTCGATATGAGGCGAGCATGATTGTGGATGGGGTGGATATCTCCCATCTGAGCCGCAAGGAGCGCAAGCGGATAAGGTACAAGGCGCGGCGGCGGGAGATGCGGCGGCAAGAGGAGATGCGGCAAGCTGAGGAGTTGAGGCAACAGGAGGAGGAAGTGAGGCGGATAGAGGAGATGAGGCGATTAGAAGAGATGCAGAAAGTAGAGACGACGAGGCGAGATGCTGAGGTGGAGCAGATGGAGGAGGCGGGTGAGAGTCTTTTTGAGGCGCCTAAAGAAGAGATGCAGCAGCAAGAAGAGAAGATGAGGCGGGATGAGGAGGAGGAGATGGAGGAGGTGGCTGAGACGTGCAAACTGGTTGCCAGCGAACCAGCAGACACAGTAGCTCCTGAAGATGGTGCTGCTGCCGTCCCGCCTGCTGCTACTGCTGCCCCGCTTGCTGCTTCTGAGACGTGCAAACTGGTTGCCAGTGAGGCAGCAGACACACTAGCTCTTGAAGCTCCTTCTGCTGCTCCTCCTCCTGATGCTGCTGCTGCTGCTACTGCTCCTGCTCCTCCTTCTCCTCCTGCCTCTCCTCCTTTCTCTCCTCCTCGTCCTCCTGCTTCTCCTCCTCCTGCCTCTCCTCCTGCTCCTCCTGCTTCTCCTCCTCCTGCCTCTCCTCCTGCTCCTCCTGCCTCTCCTCCTCCTGCCTCTCCTCCTGCTCCTCCTGCTTCTCTCCCTCCTGCCTCTCCTTCCCCCCTTCCTCCATCGCCTCCTTCCCACCCTCCTCCAGCTTCCCTGGATGCATATCTGTCATCTTTGGAGGCCACTGCTCGTCCCACTGCTGGTTCATCTCTGGCTCCTCCTCCTCCGCCTGCTCCTCCTGCTCCTGCTCTTCTTCCCGCTCCTGCTCGTCTGCCTGCTGGGTCATCGCATGGAGCAAATGGAGCCTTGCAAACTGCCTTTCCACATGCGCCACCCTTCCCTCCACCTGCTGCTGTGCCTTCTATGGTAGCAAATGCAGGGGGATGGTATGCTCCCCGTCCTCCTTTTTGTGTACCCCTGACTGCTGCTGCTGCTGCTGCTGCCGCTGCTGCTCCTCGTCCTTTTCTTCATGGATTCCCAACTGCTCCCCCTCCGCCTGCTTCTGGTGCATCTCGCAATGCTACTCAGCCTTACAACGTGTATCAACACCAGAATGTTTATCGCCCTCACAATGCTTATCAACATCACAACGCTTATCAGCATCCCAATGCTTATGACATGCACAACGCTTATCACCCTCACAACCCCTTTCAACCTCCCCAAGCTCCTCATCCTCACAACGCCGCCCCCCAGCCTAGGCCTGCTCCTCCTGCTTCTCCTACTCCTGTTCCTAACACTGCTACACACTTTCCTGCTGCAACCGCTTCTGCTGTCCAAGGGACTGCTGCTAGAGAGCCTGCTCTAGAGTATCCTGCTCCTGTGCTGAAGCTGTTTTTCGGCGAGGGTGATGAGGAGGAGTGATGCTGTGCATTGCCCTGCAGCAGCAGCAGCCGTGCTTGTAAGGGGGGGTGGGGGGTTGAGGATGGGAAAGGGGTACGTTACGTATGTCAGTGCTTGAAGTCTCCCCTTTTCTCTCTCCTCCCAATTGAATCTCTGTTGCCTGCTCCACCAAAGCTTTCTATTTTGGTTCGCATCTCTTGCCTCTCATCCCTCCCCACCTCTGATTCTTTTTCTTTGGGCTTGCAGATGCATTTTGCTTCCTCGTCTATCTGGTTCAAATTATCCACACAAACGAATGGTGTTTCTCACACAAATTCCAGCTCTGTAGTTGGGCCTTCTAGAGACACACTCGAAAGTTGTGGATACCTTTAGTACCCATGAAATGCTTTTGGAGCTCAGGTGTTTAAAAGTGGAGACGAATGTAAAGAGAGCATTGAGGGAAAAAAAAGGAATTTATGTGGATAAAATCCCTGCATGTTTATCAGGTGACATGACTGTACACGGTTATCCGTTTCACCTTAGTATACCTCCCTCACCGACAACCTCGAGGTTGTTGTCGGCGGGGCTACGGTTTCGGTGCACCCCTGATCTGTACCCCACATGTTGACAAACGACATGGAAATTACCTCGGGTCGCGGAAGAAAACGGTTTCGACGATGAACCGCAACCCGACGTGTGCCACGCTGGGAATCGCTCTGAGCAATTCAAAAAGCTTCAACGAAGTTTATTCACTTATTGGCGGTCTGCCCTTGCACTTAGCAGCACTTAGCGTGTCTCCTAATCCTGCTCCCCAATATCCCTGCAACTTCCATCCCGTCCTCCCTTTCTAATCCTGGCTGGCTAGCACCTGCCATATTGGGGTCGGGACTTGCCTGCCCTCCGCGTCCCCCCCTCACCCTCGTTTTCAACTCACGTCTTCCTATTCTACCGAGCCAGCTCCTCTTCTCCGCGCCGTCCTTTTCTTCCGAACCGCTCCACTCGGCAATATCTGAGGCCCGACCAGAAACACTAAGATGAGACTTATTTGAAGCTTTAGTAGCATGTGACGTGACGTCACGTCGGTTTGGATTAACTCGGCTTGGCTCCCGTTCTTGCTCCAGTGTCCCTCTCACCGCATTTTCGAGGTGTTTTCTAGTATGGTCTGTGACTGACAGGGGTACTATTTTGTCGTCCCTCTTGCAATCTTTGGCTTCTTCCTACCAAGCGCGACACACCTCTGACCGCGCTCTTTAGAAACGCCCTGCTTCCAGTCTGTGACACGCCACACTCACTCCCACTTGAACCTGGACGCAATACCCCGAGAAAGAAGATACAAAGACCGCGCCGTCACTTGTTCTTCCTTAAAATCGTCACCGTCTTTCTTCGTTAGCATAGTGATAGTACAAGTCGCGAGGCGCGGCAAAGGTGATCTCTTTAATCCCATTGTTCAAGGGCATATACCAAATTTGACAGTTTCGTTCATAATTTTGGTAACGGCGGGCTGACGACGACTCTTGGTCTTGTTTACATGTAGAGCAGTAGCACTACCTGATTGGCTGATTACCTAGTATCGGATGAAAAACTTTATGACTGCCAGATTAACATAGTACTACTATTATTGATAGTTAGTAGTTATGCATATTCGGCAGGACACGACTTTATTTGCGACCTCCGTCTTCACGCGAGGTGCCATAGCAGACTCGCGAGGCGCGGCGTCTTCGGCGGAGGAGATAGAGACGAAGTGCCGGATTAAGGATCATAATGATAGTACTAGTAATAGGCTGGACGGCGAGCCGATTCCAGAATTACCACCAGACTGTATAGCGCGGCACTATGGTAGTAGTACCCTAGTTGGGCCGGAAGGGCTTTGCGGCATAGGAATTTGCAACGCCGCGCCGCCGCAAGACCCTCGCGTGCAGACGCCACCGCCAGATGCGGCGCATCCCTCGGCAGCAGCAGCAGAAGGCGGGCGGGTCTCGCCTTCCACGTCAGCAACCGTCGAAGCGCGTGACGGTTACCTCTGCTCTAACCTGGTCGGTCTTTCGCTAGAACCACATCTGGTAGAAGCACAGCAAAGGAAGAATATTTCGGTGACGGACGAGACGTTGAATCGGTGCAGACACAGAGGAGCTCGCTGCCCGTGTTCGCATCCACGTCAGCATCCACGTCAAAATCCACGTCAGCATCCACGTCAGCATCCTCGTCATCATTCGCGTCCACGTCAGCAGGAGACGCATGGCCCGCGCCGCCACAATCACCTTCGCTGCAGTCCCAATCATTGCGACGATTATCACCTCCCATCATCCCGAGTCCTCCCCCTCCTCTCCCACTCCCTCCTCCCCCTTTCCCACCTCCCGCTCTTTCCCCTCCTCCTCCTCCTCTCTTCTCTCTCACACGTCAAGCGTGGTTTGAGAACCCCGGAGCAACATGTACAGCACTGCTACTCCATCAACCTCTCCTCCCTCTTCCCCCCCTCCCTTCACCGCCTCCTCCTCCTCCTCTTCCTCCTCCTCGCATCCAACTCTCTCTCACCCGTCTGCCGGCCAGCCATGGCGGCGCGCTTAACTCCATCGTTGGGGCGAGCGACGGCTCTCTCGCTGCTACCCGCCTCGTGCTTCCTCTCCAGCCTGGTGGGTGGATGAGGGGGTGGGTGCATGCGAGGGTGGGTGCATGCGAGGGTGGGTGCATGGGTGGGTGGGTGGATGGGTGCGTGGTCGAGACATGGGTTGGGGGGATGATGCATGGAAGGGCGGCGCGCTTAACTCCATCGTTGGGGCGAGCGACTGCTCTCTCGCTGCTACCTGCCTCGTGCTTCCTCTCCAGCCTGGTGGGTGGATGGGGGTGGGTAAATGGGGGTGGGTGGATGGGGATGGGTGGATGGATGTGGGTGGGTTATTGGATGGATGGGAGTTTGAGTGGATGGGGCATGGTGCATTGAAGGGGTTTGTTTCGTGCCCAAGGGTTTGGGGCTTTCTCATGCATCCTTTCAGTTTCAACCTCCCTCCATCGCCCCTCTCCCCTCTCCCCCTCTCATCGTCCTTTCACTTTCTAAAATTCTTGAAACTCTCCCCCAGCCTTCTCCCCGCATCCCCCCCCTAAACTCCCCCCGCGTCCCTCCCCCAACCCCCCCGCATCCCCCTCCCCCCCCACCCACCCCTGTATCACTCTCCCCCAATTCCATCCACCCACCCACTCTCTCCCCCCCCCCCACCCACCCCCGTATCACGCCCCTCCTCTCCCCCAATTTCCTCGCACCCCTCTCCCTCCCTCCACGAGTGCGATCTCTCATCAACAACAGTCCCGGCTTCGTCCCTGTCGCCCTAATTATCACCTCACACGCTCCCTCAGTCTCCCCGTACCCCTCCTCCTCTCTTCCCGCCATCCCCCCTTCTCCCCCTCTCCCTCTCTCCACACCAAAAGTGCAATCTCTCGTTTCAAAACAGCCTCGCCTTCGTCCCTGTCGCCCTGCTCGTCACCTCAACGCACTATCCCCCCAATCTCCCCGCACCTCCCCTTTCGCTCTTCCCACCTGCACCCCTCTCCGCCCACCTGAAGTGCGACCTCTCATTCAACTACAGCCTTGGCTTCGTGCCTGTCGCCCTGTTTTTCACCTCAACGCACCTCCCCACAAGACACCGTCTCCCCATGTCACCCCCTCTCTTCATCTCCGCCCACCAGAAGTACGACCTCTCCTTCAACAACAGCCTTGGCTTCGTGCCTGTCGCCCTGCTCTCTCCCCCACTGCTCTCGGATTCACCCTAGTCTCGCTGTCACCTCAGAGAACTCTCTCCTAATCCCCCCCCCAATATCTCCTTATCCCCCCCCCCAATCTCTCCTAATCCCCCCCCCAATCTCTCCGCCCACCAGAAGTGCGACCTCTCCTTCAACAACAGCCTTGGCTTCGTCCCTGTCGCCCTGCTCGTCTCCATGCTCCCCAACGTGCCCTTCACACAGGGCGTATTGCACAGGTACGTGCTTGTAACTCTCCCCCCTCCTCCCTGTGCTAGTATATGCTTGTGGGAGTGCTTGTAGCACTCGTCTCCATGCTCCCCAACGCGCCCTTCACACAGGGCGTATTGCACAGGTACGTGCTTGCACCCCATACCTGCTGTCCGTGCCCGTGCTTGCACCCCATACCTGCTGTCCGTGCCCGTGCTTGTGCCAGTCCCCGTGCACCCTGCGCTTGTTCCCTCCCTGTCGCCCTGCTTGTCTCTATGCTTCCCCACGTGCCCTTCACACAGGGCGTATTGCACAGATACGTGCTTGTAACTTGCTTGCCCCCCTCCTCCTTGTGCTAGTACATGCGTGTGCGTGTGCGTGTGCCTGTAGCACTCGTCTCTATGCTCCCAAACGCGCCCTTCACGCAACGTGTATTGCACAGATACGAGCTGGCATCCCATGCCTTGTACCCCATGCCTTGTACCCCATGCCTTGCCCTGCACCCCATGCCTTGTACCCCATGCATTGTACCCCATGCCTGTGCTTCACCTACCCAATCGACTCCTAACCAGGCTTCCCAACTTGCCCTTCATGTGAGACCCACGTGCTTGCACCCATGCCCACGTGCTTGCACCCATACCCACGTGCTTGCACCCATACCCACGTGCTTGCACCCATACCCACGTGCTTGCACCCATACCCACGTGCTTGCACCCATACCCACGTGCTTGCACCCATGCCCACGTGATTTCCCCTGCCTTCTGGCTTCCCCCATCCTCCCCCTCCCGTTCTCTCCTTCCCATCCTTCCCCTTCCGTTCCCCCCTCCCATCCTCCCCCTTCCGTCCCCCCCTTTCCATCCTTCCAAGCAGCAAAAAAGCGGCGCCAGTGCTGGCAGGGATGCCGAGTCCTCTTTCTCTCTCCAGCCATTAAACCCTCCCGTCCTCCTACCCCCACCTTTCCCCTCCCGTCCGCCTCCTCCCTCTTCCCGCCTCCTGACCTGCCTGACCTGCCTGACCTGCCTGACCTGTCTTCCCTGCCTGACCTGCCTGACCTGTCTTCCCCACTCCCCCTTGCAGCAAGAAAGTGGCGCCGGTGCTGGCGGGGACTCTGAAGCCAGAGTGCAAAGCGGTCAACTTTCTCAATGTGAGACCCCACACACTCCCACCATTCCGTATGTGAGCACCCACTCTCACCACACATTTATATATATATATATATATAAACGTGCATATATATATATAAACGTGCACCCTAACCATTAAGAACCTTATGCAAGTGCCCTGCCTTGATGGTCCTGCCGTCCTCCACTCCATCACACACAACCCCAAGACGCCCAACATCCCACCCTGCCCTTCCATCCCTCACTTTCCTCTCTGCCCCTCCGCTCCCTCCCTCGTTCAAATTAAACCCACCCTGCCCTTCCATCCCTCACTTCCTTGTCTGCCCCTCCTCTCCCTCCCTTCCCTTGCAGATGAAGCTACGCAAGTGCCCTGCCTTTGTGGTCGTACCTCCTTCACCCCTTGCTTCACTCCAATCCCACCCCTTTCTGCCCCTCCTCTCCCTCCCTTCCCTTGCAGATGAAGCTACGCAAGTGCCCTGCCTTTGTGGTCGTACCTCCTTCACCCCTTGCTTCACTCCAATCCCACCCCTTTCTGCCCCTCCTCTCCCTCCCTTCCCTTGCAGATGAATCTACGCAAGTGCCCTGCCTTTGTGGTCGTACCTCCTTCACCCCTTGCTTCACTCCAATCCCACCCCTTTCTGCCCCTCCTCTCCCTCCCTTCCCTTGCAGATGAAGCTACGCAAGTGCCCTGCCTTTGTGGTCGTACCTCCTTCACCCCTTGCTTCACTCCAATCCCACCCCTTTCTGCCCCTCCTCTCCCTCCCTTCCCTTGCAGATGAAGCTACGCAAGTGCCCTGCCTTTGTGGTCGTACCTCCTTCACCCCTTGCTTCACTCCAATCCCACCCCTTTCTGCCCCTCCTCTCCCTCCCTTCCCTTGCAGATGAAGCTACGCAAGTGCCCTGCCTTTGTGGTCGTACCTCCTTCACCCCTTGCTTCACTCCAATCCCACCCCTTTCTGCCCCTCCTCTCCCTCCCTTCCCTTGCAGATGAAGCTACGCAAGTGCCCTGCCTTTGTGGTCGTACCTCCTTCACCCCTTGCTTCACTCCAATCCCACCCCTTTCTGCCCCTTCTCTCCCTCCCTTCCCTTGCAGATGAAGCTACGCAAGTGCCCTGCCTTTGTGGTCGTACCTCCTTCACCCCTTGCTTCACTCCAATCCCACCCCTTTCTGCCCCTCCTCTCCCTCCCTTCCCTTGCAGATGAAGCTACGCAAGTGCCCTGCCTTTGTGGTCGTACCTCCTTCCGCAACACGCAACCCCAAGAAACCCCTCATCCCTCCCTGCCCTTCCATTCGCCTCGCCACCACCACCCTGAACGTCAAACGGATACCGGTGAGTGAGTGCAGCACACAGTCAGGCCTGCACAGTTGTGACTGGCTCACACCACCCTGCCCACCATCCCTCCCTGCCCTTCCATTCGCCTCGCCACCACCACCCTAAATGTCAAACGGATACCGGTGAGTGAAGGAGAGAGTGAGTGAGTGAGTGAGAGTGAGAGAGTGTGAGCCTCAATTGACACCCGTAAGTGAGTGCGTGAGTGAGTGGGTGCAAATCAAGGATGACTTACTCTGCTCACCACCACTCACTCTGCTCACCATCACCACCACCCTAAACCCTGAAACGGACTTCTGTGAGTAAGTGTCCATAGATCAGGCGCCTCAAAAGATGAGGCTCAAAAGTCAGACTCCTGCGAGTAAGTATCCATTTTTGAGGCGTCTAGTTTTGAGGCGCCTCAAAACTAGGCCTCAAAAGATGAGCCTCAAAAGTCGGACTCCCGTGCGTACGTATCCGTCGCAGCCTATGAATCGATTTTTTAGTCGACTTAAAAATCAGCTATAAATCGTCCATGTTGGCAAACCCATATGCTTACACAGTCATGTGCTGTGATTCCCAAGAGTAAATCAAACCATACACTTGTACACTCATGTGCTGTGCTTCACAGGCGTTTTTTGTGATATATATGCACGTATATGTGTGTGTGTGTTTATAAAGTCTGGCAGCGGGCCTAAGGGCATCGTGCAGCTGTCAACATGCATCAACCCCTCCCCCTTACTTTTCCCCTACCCCCCATCAGGCATACAGCAGGGCGTGCTTCACGGTGCACCTGTCATAACTCACCAACGCCCTTCCCTCACCCCTTCCCCTCCTCCCTCTTCCTCCCCCTCTTCCTCTCCATTGCCCATCAGGCATACAGCGGGGGCGTGCTTCACCACGGTGCACCTGTCAACACTCACCATCAAGAGAGGCAGCGACCCAACCCAAGCGTATGGTGCGACCCTGAGCATGGACCTCTTCCCCCCTGCTACCCCCCTTCCCCCTTCCTACCCCCCATCAGGCATACAGCAGGGCGTGCTTCACGGTGCACCTGTCATAACTCACCAACGCCCTTCCCTCACCCCTTCCCCTCCTCCCTCTTCCTCCCCCTCTTCCTCTCCATTGCCCATCAGGCATACAGCGGGGCGTGCTTCACCGTGCACCTGTCAACCCTTACCATCAAGATAGGCAGTGGGCCCAAGGGCATGGTGCGGCTGTCGCCTGGAGATGGAAACATGCAGTTCCCTGAGGTTAGTGCTCTCTCATGCTCAGCTTTTGAGGCGCCTCAAAAGAATACCCAGTTCCCTGAGGTTAGTGCTTCTCACAGTCACCACTCACTCACAAGCACAATCACAAGCACACTCACACTCACCAATCTCACATCTGACCATCAAGATAGGCAACGGACCCAAGGGCATGGTGCGGCTGTTGCCTGGAGATGGCAACATGCAGTTCCCTGAGGTTAGTGCTCTCTCATGCTCAGCTCGCTCTCACACGCACATACACCACTCGCACTCACCACCACTCTCACACCTCACCATCGAGATAGGGAGTGGGCTGAAGGGCAAGGTGTGGCTATTGCCTAAGGACAGCAACACCCAGTTTCCTGCAGTGCATGCTCATGCTCACACTCACACTCACACTCGCACTCACAGTCACACTCACATTCGCACTCACACTCACATTCACACACACTCACCTCACTCGCACACGCACACCCACACTCACAGCTCACACTCACCACCCACACACCTGACCATCAAGATAGGCGGTGGATCCAAGGGCATGGTTTGGTTATCGCCTAACGACGGCAACACCCAGTTTTCTGAGGTGCATGTACGCACTCGCACTCACACTTGTGCCCACACTCGCCCTCACAATCACACTCACCATTGTCACACATCACCATTGTGGCTGTATGTGGTATTTGTCACCTTCTCTCTTGTCACTTCCATTCATCTTCCCCTCTTCCCCATTCTTCCCACCCCTCCCTCCCCATTTTCCCTGTGCCGTGCAGGCTAGGAGATGTTTAGTCTTTCGTACTCTATAGTGAGAGGGTGATTACCGTAGTGTACATGCATGGTAGCTTGGCACAACCCCTCGTTGTGCTAGATGCAATTTTTGTGCATTTCCTTATTAGCAGTTTCAAATATAATTTGGTTGGGCTTGAAAATGTTACAAACGGCTATATAATTTTTGCATGAAATACTTTTGTAGCTCACATATTTGCCTGCTACAACATGAATCACGATCTTAACAAAGAGAATATAGAATTAGGGTGTTCTTCCTAATCATGGACAGAAAGTTGCTCTTTCCTTCAACTGGTGTGGTGGTTCGACGTTAACGAGACAGCCAATATCGCATTTGCATTCACACCAACCAATCTCCTGCCATTCGCGCGTGAACCAGAATCAGTCGCCTGCCCAGCTTTGACTCGTCGCCTGGGTTTGAATGTAGGCGGTGTAGCCTGGAGACCCAAAAAAAGACGATTCTGGCACGGGAAAATATCATATTAAGGCCGGACGGTGCCAGAAGGGTGATCAAAGTAGGGCCGGAAAATCTCGACAGTAGGTTTTCAACCCGGAGCTGACCAAACGACTCGGCAAACAAGCCGAACCATTAGTAAAAGGTAATTGCTAAAAGAAACCTAATTTTGTGTTCGTATTGTTTATTGAGGGTTTTGACCGCCGCCTACTACAGCGCGCGCGTCGCCTTCTTCTGGAATCGAATTCGGCGTGTCAAATCGTGATTACGTAACAGCATAATATATTCTGGGTGATGCATACCACCTACCCAATCGGAAACCACAGAAAAACAAATATTACCCATTCGGAAACGGATACGACTCGGGAGGGATCAACCCTAAATACCAGGAAGGTCCATTTTTCAGGGTTTATCCATCCCGAAATTGCATCCAGGCTCCCAATGAGTTTTAGTTTTTTTTGCTGCCCTAGAGTTCCCGGTAGAGTCGGCTCGCTAAACGACACGCGAGCGAAAATGCGAGCCGGTACATGCCACTAGTAAAATGATTACGTGCAATAAATGAAAACTTTATGTTAATTCCTCTTTGTGAAGCGGTTTGGTAATTTCCGGGCCTCTCAGCCCCTGGTGGATCACCCCTCTGGCACTGTTCGGCCCTTGTATGATCTTCTCCCTTCTGGCACGCACAAGAATCGAGACAGACGAGACCTCTGACCAACCACGTCACCCTTGGGATTGCCGTACCACTTGTGTATGTTACTAGGGTGTTCACTTCTAAAATAATATATACTTTTACTCTGGTCACGCAGCCACCAAAGGCATGGTGGAGAGTGATTTTGCGGCATTTGTTGCGATGTAACCAGCTGCTGGTGTCACAGGCATTCATTTCTATGAGACGTCACACAAGCCGGTTTGAAATTACCTCAAAATCAGGGATCACGATGCTTTCGCCTCAGGGCGACAGTGGTGGATCGCTAAGAGCTGATCCGATGCAAGCAACCTGTTTGCCGCAGCTAGACTCATCATTTTCTCTCTCATGGTCGCATGACCAGTCGCAGGAGACGCATTGCCAGTCGCAGGACTCGTCGCAAATGGCATTCGCAAAAGTCTTACTCCAGCGGCTGCAAGCGCCGGGCGCGCACGTTTTTCTCCCAAACACCCCCTCTGCCGCCGCCTCCGCGCACCTGGCGTTGGAGTCCGCCGATCCTCTTCCCCCCGCCCCCGCTTCCGCCGATTTTTCCGCTCCATCCTTCCCTTGCGCGAAAAAGAGCAATGGTGGGGCCATTGTGGACTGGTGGTATCCTCTTAACGAGGTAAGCAAAAGGTCGGGGATAGACGGCGGCGTGGGGAAGGGAAAAGGGGAGGTGAAGGCGGGTAAATGGCCGGAGGAGGAGAATGGGGAGAAGGAGAAGAAGGCGGGGAAGGGTAAGACGGGGGGGAAGGGGAAGAAGGTGGGAAAAGGAAAGAAAGGAGCGAAGGGGAAGAAGGGGAAGAAGAGAGCGAATGGGGGGCAAGATTGGGAGAAGATTGGGGAGGAGAGAGGGCGTGTGGAGAGAAGAGGTGCAAAGAAGCGAAAGGGGAAGCCCCACCAGTACTGTGCAGGGGGAGGTGCCGCTACTGCTGAGGGCCCGACGTTTGAGGCTCCTCAAAAGAAGCAAAAGGGGAAGCTCCACCTAGTCTGTGCGAGGGGGGTTGCTGCCAGTGCTGAGGGGCACGATCCGCTTGAGAACCGGCTTCCTTCTGAGTCATCTCAGAAGCTATCTCACCAGTTCTGTGTGCGAGGGGTTGCTGCCGCTGCTGAGGGCCAGGATCAGCCTGAAAACCGGCTGCATATGCTGTGGCCAAGTGACACGAGCTTCGGTGATCCTAAGCTTAGCACGAGCTTCGGCGATTCTACGCTTGGCACGAGCTTCGGTGATTTTAGGCCCGGCACGAGCTTCAGTGATTCTAGGCTCGGCACGAGCTTCGGTGATACTAGGCTTGAGAAGAGCATCTTGATTGAGGGAGAGGCTGGTGGAGAGAGGGAGGGGATGTCGCGGACTGCTGGGGTTGGAGTTTCAAAGAAGGTGAAAAAGCGTAGGAGCGTGGAGGAAGTAGTTGCTCAGCTAAGCGCCAATAAGAATGGTGTCAATGCTCAGCTAAGCGCCAGTCTAGCTCAAAGTATCACAGCTCAGCTGAACGTCAGTCAGGGACAAAGTGTTGCTGAGGGTGTCGTTGCTCAGCTAAGTGCTATTCCAGCCCACGGCGTCACTGCGGAATTAAGAGTCAGTCTGGAGCAAGGTGCCGTCGCTCAGCTAAGTGTCGGAGCAGCTCAATCTGGCACTGATCGGCTAGTAAGTGTAGTTCGAGATGAAGGCGTCGGTGTGACGCTAAATTCAGAGCAGGGAGAAAAAAATTCTAGCACTTACACTCAGCTAAGTGCCCAGCAAGGCACGTGTCTTGGTGGTGGTCCGGGTGGTGGTCCGGGTGGTGGTTCGGATAATGGCTTGGATAGTGGTTCGGGTAATGGTCAGAGAGATCGGGCAGGTGAAAATTTCAGTCAAAGTCTGGGGACGATTCTTAGTGATGCTCTCGGTGCTAGGGTAGGAGCAGCAGAGGAGAGGGAGGGGGTTGATTGCAATCAGCAGGAGCGGTTGCAGCAGGGAGGTGTGGGGGGAGGGGGGGGAAAGGTTGGTGCGGCGGAGGTGAGGGATAGAGGACGGGAAGGAGTGGGTGGTGGTGTTTCAGCGTGTGGGAAATGTGAAGGGTTGGATCGAAGGGATGAGGGAGGAGGCGTTGACTTAGACGGAAGGGATAAGAGGGGAGGTGCGGGAAGAGGCGAGGAAGGAGAGGAGAACGAGGGGGAGGAGGAGGAGGAAAATGGGGAAGGGCAGGATGAGCGGAAGAATACGGATGGAAACAATGGGAAGGAACGAAAAGAGGAGGAGAGGAAGGAGGAGCAAGGGAAGGAGAAGGAGGGGAAGGAGGCGGAAGGGCACGATGAGAAGGAACAAAAAGAGGAGGAGAGTAAGGAGGAGCAAGGGAAGGAGAAGGAGGGGAAGGAGGCGGAGATGGGGAAGGAGGAAAGGATGGAGAAAGGATCAGAGGGTGCGACGGGCTTACTAGTTTCTGGTTTTGAGTCGACTCAAAAGCAGACGGGCTTAGTTTCTGGGCGGGCACGAAACAGGGAGGTGGAGCGAGAAAAAGAGAAGCAGGAGCGAGAGCAGGGAGGAGAGGAGAAGGAAGACGGGAATAAGAGGGGATTGGAACGGGAGGAGGGGAAGGGGGAGGGAGAGGAGACAGAAGTTGAAGAAAAGGAGATGGAGAAGAGTAGGGGGTTGTTGCAGGGGCTGGGGAAGCAGGAGGAGGGAAAGCAAGAGGAGGGGAAGCAAAATGAGGGAGAACAGGGGAAAGGGGAGAATCAGGGGGGAGAGAAGGAAGGCGGAGAAAGGAAGGAAGAAAACAAGGAAGGGGATGCGCAGGGGTGCAATAAAGAGGAAGAAGAAGAGGAGGAGTCGGAGGGGGAGAGGGATGGAGGAGGCGAAACGACAAGGAAGAGAAAGCGCGAGGAAGATTCCTCCTGGTGGTGGCGAGATTTGGACGGACCTGAGGAGGAGGAGGAGTGGGTAGCAGGAGAGGGAGTGAGGAGGAAGTGGGGGAGAGCGCGGAGTGTGAGGGAGCTGCTCAGTGCCACGTCAGCAGTGGGGAAGAGGGTCGTATGGTGGAGGAAGAAGTACAAGAAGAAAGGGGTTGCAGGGAAGGGGAGTGTGGGGAAGGGGATTGGGGGAAAGGGAGGTTGGGGGAAAGGGAGTGGGGGGAAGGGGCGCTGGGGGAACAAAATGCAGGGGAAGGGGAAGGGTAAGGGGAAGGGTAAGGGTAAGGGGAAGGGGAAAGGGAAAGGAAATGCTAAGTGGGATCAAAAGGATGGGAAAGAGGAGGGAAGGAGTGATGGTGCTGGGTGGGCAGGGCGGTTGCGGGGAAGGGACAGGGCAGCAGGCAGTAGTGTTGCAAGTGGTGCTGCAAGTGGTGCTGCAAGCAATGTGGAAGCAGGGAATGCTGCCGCTGGCAGTGCTGCGGCAAGCAACGGTAGCAATGAAACAGATGCGAAGGCGGGTGGAAAGTGCAATCCAAAGAAGGCCGCAGGAAAGAACGTGTCAGTGGTGACAAAGTTGGCAAATGCGAGAATGGCGGCTGCAGCTGGAAAGGCGCCAGCAGTGGAAATATTGCCGGAAGCAGCAAGAGAAGTGTCAGCAGCAGGAAAGGCAGAGGGCAAGGCAGAGGGGAAGGCAGAGGGGAAGGCAGAGGGGAAGGCAGAGGGGAAAGAGGGCACGGCGGCAGCAGCTAGAAAAGAGTCAGCAGAAAAACAATTGTCGGCAGCAAAGAAAGGGTCGGCAGCAGGAAAGGCAGAGAGGGGGGGGGGGGACGAGGAGGAGGAGGGGGTGGAAGAGGAGGAGGAGGAGGAGGAGGAGGAGGAGGAGGAGGAGGAGGAGGAGGAGGAGGAGGAGGAGGAGGAGGAGGAGGAGGAGGAGGAGGGGGGGGGGGGGGGGGGAGGAGGAGGAGGAGGGGAAGGAAAAGGGGAAGGAGGAGGGGACGGAAGGGAGGGAGGAAGTGGGGAAGGAGGGTGTGGAGGAGGGGGTGCAGGGAGGGGAGGGAAGGGGGAACTGTAGCAGAGAAGAAGCTGGAGGAATAGAGGCAGGAGAAGGGAGCGGAGGAGGAGGAGAGAATGGAGGAGAGAATGGAGGAGAGAGAGGAGGAGAGGATGGAGGAGAGAATGGAGGAGAGAGAGGAGGAGAGAGTGGAGGAGAGAGAGGAAGCGCGGGAGGAAGCGCGGGAGGAAGCGCGGGAGGAAGTGGAGCCACAAAAGGGAAGAGGAAGTGGAGAAAGTGTGAGCAGGGCAGCTAGGCTGAAAGGGGTAAGAGACGTGTGAGGCAGTGGAAGGTGAAGGAGAGGGCGGAGAGGGAGGAGAGGGCGGAGAGGGAGGAGAGGGAGGAGAGGAAAGAGAAGGAGAGGGAGGAGATGAAAGAGAAGGAGAGGGAGGAGAGGAAAGAGATGGACGAGGGGAAGGAGAGGGAGGAGAGGAAGGAGAGAAATGAGAGGGAGGAGAGAAAGGAGATGGACGAGGGGAAGGAGAGGGAGGAGAGGAAGGAGAGAAAGGAGAAGGAGGAGAAAAAGGAGAGGGAGGAGAGAAAGGAGAGGGAGGAGGGGAAGGGGAGGAAGGAAAGGAAGGAGAGGGAGGAGAGGGAAGAGACGGAAGAGAGGGAGGAGAGGAAGAAGAGGGAGGAGAGGGAGAAGAGGGATAAGAGGGAGGAAAGGGAGGAGAGAGATAAGTGGGAGAGGGATAAGTGGGAGGAGTTGGATGAGGCACATGAGGCAAAAGAAACCAGGGGGGGAGAGAAAAAGAAGGAGAAGGAGACAGAAGCGAGGAAGGAAAGGGAGAGAAAGCAGGATCAAGCGGAGAAAGGGAGGGGGGAAACAGCCTCTGCTCCTGCTGCTGCAGCTGCTGCTGGGGTGGAAATTCCAACTGCAGAATCAGCTGCAAAGGGAGCACAGAGAGCAGAAGCCGCGGCAGTGGGAGAATTAAGAGCAGAAGTAGCAGCAGCACAACCAGCAGCATCAGCAGCAGCAGCACCACCACCAATGCTGGCAATGACTAGCAGCCGTGCTGCTCTGCTTGCACGTGAACGGGATGCTGCAGGTGATGTTACAGCAGAAGCATCGCCCTTGCCACCACAAGACGCAACACAACCAGCAGCAGCACCACCATCAACTGCAGCAGGAGCAGCAGCAGCAGCAGGTGATGGCGCTGGTGGTTCTACTGGTGATGCTGCATTGGGTGTGGCAGCCGAGCTGTCGCCCCTGCCACCACAAGAAGCAGCACAGCCAGCAGCTGTACCACCATCAACTGCAGCAGGAGCAGCAGCAGCAGCAGGTGATGGTGCTGGTGGTTCTGCTGGTGATGCTGCATTGGGTGTGGCAGCCGATCCATCGCCCCTGCCACCACAAAAAGCAGCACAGCCAGCAGCAGCGGCACCGCCATCAACTGCAGCAGGAGCAGCAGCAGGAGCAGCAGAAGCAGCAGCAGCAGGTGATGGTGCTGGTGGTTCTGCTGGTGATGCTGCATTGGGTGTGGCAGCCGATCCATCGCCCCTGCCACCACAAAAAGCAGCACAGCCAGCAGCAGCGGCACCACCATCAACTGCAGCAGGAGCAGCAGCAGGAGCAGCAGAAGCAAGTGCGGGTGGATTTAAAGATCCAACACACGTTTGTGGAACAAAGGTAACAGCACGAGCAAAGAGGGAATTAGCAGCAGCAGCAGCAGCAGCAGCAGCAGCAGCAGCAGCAGCAGCAGCAGCAGCAGCAGCAGCAGCAGCAGCAGCAGAAGGGGGAGGATCAGCAGGTGAAGGCTTAGCTGTGGGAGCATAGGGAACTCGAATGCAAGCTGGCTCAGTAGCAGGTGGGCTGTGGGGAGTGGTGGCAGAGGCAGTTGCAACAGCACCAGGAGCATCAAAGAATGCTTCTGGGCCGCCTCGAAGAAAAGCTTATCAAGCAAAACCATCAACATCAGAAGCACTGCAATTAGCACCACCACCATCACCACCACCACCACCATCACCACCAACAGCACCACCACCATCACCACCAGCAGCACCATCAGCAGCAACAGCAGCAGCACAAACGGCAGCAGCAGCACAAACAGCAGCAGCAGTGTCTAGCAGTCGTGCCGCTCGGTGTAGTCGTGATGATGCAGGTGTGACTGAAGGGGGTGTGACTGAAGGGGTTGTGACTGAAGTGGGTGTGACTGAAACAGCACCAGCACAAGCAGCAACAGCAGCAGCACAAACGGCAGCAGCAGTGTTTAGCATTCGTGCTGCTCGGTGTATTCGTGATGATGCAGGTGTGACTGAAGGGGGTGTGGGTGAAGGGGGTGTGGTGGAAGTGGAGGTGATTGTAAAGGGCGAGGCGGTTGTGCGTTCTCCCAACCCCCAATCGACAGATAGCAACCACTCATCCCTAAGAACAGCTGGAAGAACCACAAATGTGTCAGATGTAGCAGCAGCAGCAGCAGCAGCAGCAGCAGCAGCAGCAGCAGCAGCAGCACCACCACCACCACCACCACCACCACCACCACCACCACCACCACCACCACCACCACCACCACCACCACCACCACCACCACCACCACCACCACCACCACCACCACCACCACCACCACCACCACCACCACCACCACCACCACCACCACCGCCACCACCACCACCACACGTAGCAGCAGCAGCAGCAGCAGCAGCAGCAGCAGCAGCAGCAGCACCACCACCACCACCACCACCACCACCACCACCACCACCACCACACGTAGCAGCAGCAGCAGCAGCAGCAGCAGCACCACCACCACCACCACCACCACCACCACCACCACCACCACCACCACCACCACCACCACCACCACCACCACCACCACCACCACCACCACCACACGTAGCAGCAGCACCACCACCACCGCCACCACCACCACCACACGTAGCAGCACCACCACCACCACCACCACCACCACACGTAGCAGCAGCAGCAGCACCACCACCACCACCACACGTAGCAGCAGCACCACCACCACCGCCACCACCACCACCACACGTAGCAGCAGCAGCAGCAGCAGCACCACCACCACCACCACCACCACACGTAGCAGCAGCACCACCACCACCGCCACCACCACCACCACACGTAGCAGCAGCAGCACCACCACCACCACCACCACCACCACCACCACCACACGTAGCAGCACCACCACCACCACCACCACCACCACCACCACCACCACCACCACCACACGTAGCAGCACCACCACCACCACCACACGTAGCAGCACCACCACCACCACCACCACCACCACACGTAGCAGCAGCAGCAGCACCACCACCACCACCACACGTAGCAGCAGCACCACCACCACCGCCACCACCACCACCACACGTAGCAGCAGCACCACCACCACCACCACCACCACCACCACCACCACCACCACCACCACCACCACCACCACCACCACACGTAGCAGCAGCAGCAGCAGCACCACCACCACCACCACCACCACACGTAGCAGCAGCAGCACCACCACCGCCACCACCACCACCACACGTAGCAGCAGCACCACCACCACCACCACACGTAGCAGCAGCAGCAGCACCACCACCACCACCACACGTAGCAGCAGCACCACCACCACCGCCACCACCACCACCACACGTAGCAGCAGCAGCACCACCACCACCACCACCACACGTAGCAGCAGCACCACCACCACCGCCACCACCACCACACGTAGCAGCAGCACCACCACCACCGCCACCACCACCACCACACGTAGCAGCAGCACCACCACCACCACCACCACCACACGTAGCAGCAGCACCACCACCACCGCCACCACCACCACACGTAGCAGCACCACCACCACCGCCACCACCACCACCACACGTAGCAGCACCACCACCACCGCCACCACCACCACCACACGTAGCAGCACCACCACCACCACCGCCACCACCACCACCACCACCACACGTAGCAGCACCACCACCACCGCCACCACCACCACCACACGTAGCAGCACCACCACCACCGCCACCACCACCACCACACGTAGCAGCACCACCACCACCACCGCCACCACCACCACCACACGTAGCAGCACCACCACCACCACACGTAGCAGCACCACCAGAAGCACCATTACCAGCAGCACCAACAGCACCACCAGAAGCACCATTACCACAAGCAGCAGCAGCAGCAGCAGCAGCAGCAGCAGCAGCAGCAGCAGCAGCAGCAGCAGCAGACGGACGGAGGAAGCGCTAGAGGAAATGGCGTGGAGCATCAAAGGTGGAGGGTGGTGGAGAATCGCTGCTTCCAAGAACCTTCCCTGACGACGAGGGGCGGCAGGCAGCTGTTTCCAGTGCGCTCATGTTGCTGAGTCAGCACTGCACCACCACAATGCCACGTGCACCTGCTGCTGACGTGGCATGCCAAGGCGTGCTTGATGATGTGGTGGCTCGAGAGGGTCGCGGTAGGATGGTGTCATGTGGCAAAAAGGCTGACGTGGCAGGTACTGGTTACGTGGCAGCTGGTGCAAGGTCACACGTGGGTGTTGCTGGCATGGTTGCGAGGCCAGAAAGAGAAGCAATTGCAGGGGTTAATATGATGTATGAAGAAGAAATGGGTGGGGCTGCCTCAGGTGATGCGACAAGGTCACGCGTGGGTGTTGCTGGCATGGGTGTGAACACTGGAAGAGATGCAAGTGCAGGGGGTAATGTGATGTGCGAGGAAGAAATGGGTGGGGCGACAGCGGTAGTGGGACTCTGGCGGCAGAGGGAAAGGGAGAGGGAAAGGGAGAGGGAAAGGAAGAGGAAAAGGGAGAGGGAAAGGGAGAGGAAAAGGGAGAGGGAAAGGGAGAGGGAAAGGGAGAGGGAAAGGGAGAGGGAAAGGGAGAGGGAAAGGGAGAGGGAAAGGGAGAGGGAAAGGGAGAGGGAGAGGGAGTGGGAAAGGAAGAGCAGAAGGGAGCGCGAACAAGAGGGAGAAAGGGAGGGGAAAAGGGAGAGCCAAGGGGAGAGGGAAAGGGAGAGGGAAAGGGCGAGGGTGAGGGAGAGGGAAAGGAAGAGCAGAAGGGAGAGCGAACGGGAGGGAGAAAGGGAGGGGAAAAGGGAGAGCCAAAGGGAGAGGGGAAGGCAAGATTTGGGGAATGTTCCCTGATTAATGCTCCTCATGTTAAGTGTGACTATAATGAGGGCGATGCTGATGTGGCAGCAAAGGACGGGGATCGAAATCCACCGGAGAATCTACCTGGAAATCCACCTGACAAATCACTGGTAATTCCACCTGAGAAAACACCTGAAGGTATGCCTGCCTTGTGTGATGTGCCATGCAGGTCATTTCATCATGGAATGTGCCAAATTCAACAGTGAATTTAGGGCGTGGGTGTGCGAGTATTAAGGCACCTATAAAAACACATGGGGGTGCTCAGCTCAGGTTCGGGGTGCTGAGCTCAGGTTTGGGTTCCTGAGCTGAGATTCGGGGTGCTGAGCTCAGGTTCGGGGTGCTGAGCTCAGGTTCGGGTTCCTGAGCTGAGATTCGGGGTGCTGAGCTCAGGTTCGGGGTGTGGATGTCCGAACAAGGGAGGCACCTCAAAAAATAAGCCGGGCGGTGGGTTGAGTGTATCAGATTTGGGGTGCGGATGTTTGAACAAAGGAGGCATAGCGTGTGGGAACCAGGGGAGGTGGGTGAACCAGGGCAGGTGCACAAATGAAACGAGGGGGGTAACGGCAACCTTTTAGGTGCAATCAGAAATGCAACTCCAACTGCTACCAGAAGCGCAACTGCAAGTGGTGGAAACAGAGCAGCAGCAGAGAGTGTAGAAGCAGGCATGGGAGGGGCCGCAGTGAATAGAAGCAGATGTAGTAGAAGCAGAGCAGCGCAACTGCAAGTGGTGGAAACAGAGCAGCAGCAGCAGTGGTGTGTCACATGCAGCAGGTTATGCAGACGCAGTTGCAGTGGCAGCCGGAGCAGCAGGAGCAGCGGTGGATACATCAAGACAGCAGCTGCACCTGGCATCACATAGAGCAGCAGCAGTGGTGTGTCACATGCAGCAGGTTATGCAGACGCAGTTGCAGTGGCAGCAGCAGGAGCTGAGGAGAGGAGGGAGATGAAAGAATTGGTGGATGCAGCACCATCGCATGCAGCCACAGCCGCAGCAGCAGCAGCAGCAGCAGCAGCAGCAGCAGCAGCAGCAGCAGCAGCAGCAGCAGCAGCAGCAGCAGAAGCAGCAGCAGCAGCAGCAGCAGCAGCAGCAGCAGCAGTGGTGTGTCGCATGCAGCAGGTAATTCAGAGATGCAGAGCACAGAGCACAGAGGCAGGCATGGGATGGGCAGCAGTGAACAGCGTAGAGGCAGATAGGAGGGACAGCTGCTCGCAGATTTCGTTTTGAGGCGCCTCAAAATATGGGAGGGGGAGCAGTGAGGGGCCAGCGTAGAGGCAGATAGGGGCAAGCGGCTGCAGGTGCAGCTGTGTGTGCAATGTTCAGTCATTTCCCAAAGAGCTACAGTCGTGTAGTAGGCATAAGCCTTAGAATTCGCTCTGTGTAAAACAAAGTGCTCAGAGCGGATTTGGGCTGGCAAGCAGCTGCAGGTGCAGCTGTGTGTGTGCTGTGGGCGCAAAGGAGAAGTGGTGCTGCGGGCGCAAGGGAGAAGTGGTGCTGTGGGCGCAAGGGAGAAGCGGTGCTGTCGGCGCAAGGGAGAAGGGGTGCTGTGGGCGCAAGGGAGAAGGGGTGCTGCGGCGGAGAGTACAAAGTCAGGGCTGGCAGGAGCAGTGGCAGGCACTGCAGCTGGGATGTAGGCGCAAGAGAAAACTGGCAGATGCAGCAACGGCAGGGGCAGTGGCTGGTAGTCTTTTGCGGCGCCTCAGAAGTGGTGCTGCTGGGGAGAGTGCAGTAGCAGCACTGGCAGGAACAGTGGCAGCACTGGCAGGAACAGTGGCAGCCACTGCAGCTTTAGGCGTAAGAGAAAAATGGCGTAGGCAGGTACGGGCGGAGCTGTGGCAATGGAAGGATTAGCATTAGGAGGTATGGAAGGAGAAGTGGCAAGTACGGGAGGAGCAGTGGCAGGTACGGGAGGAGCGGAAGCAGGTACGGGTGGAGCGGAGGCAGGTACGGGAGGAGCAGAAGCAGGTATGGGAGGAGCAGCGGCAGTAAGTGAATCTGTGTGTTGCAGGTGCGAGACAAAAGTGGTTGAAGCAGCAGCAGAGAGTGTGGAAGCTGGTATGGTAGGTGCTGCCACTGTGTGCTGCCACTGTGTGCTGCCACTGTGTGCTGCCACTGTGTGCTGCCACTGTGTGCTGCCACTGTGTGCTGTTGCCACAAGAGAAGACTTGCTGAAGTAGCAGACATTGCAGATCATGCTGTTTAGATGGTTTGATTTAGACACAGAAGCAGCTGCTTCTTTTGATGTAATCCGCAGATGGCACATGAGCAAAAGAGGCCAAAGTGGTCAAGCTGTAACATTAGTTCATTGTGACTATCTCTGTGTTTCATTCATACTTTTATTGCTTCTATTAATTGTATTGCATAGTATTGCTTCTGCAGATTGGTTTGCATGGTTTCTGTGCTCATTAAACTCGGTCACCTGTACGAATAGTCACCTTCGGTAAAGCTTTAAGCTTTGGAGCTTTGATCAAAACAAGGTGACGTGTGCTGTAACGTAATGGTAAGTGTAGATGCATTAATGCTCTGGCCAAACCAAGGTAAAATTTGGGTCGAATCATAGCACGTCCTTATGAATCACTATTCCGCGTGTGATGAGTCGGCTAAAAAATCGACTCACCACACATACGTCCTCCTCATAGAGCACTATTCCTTCCATGCATGTGCCTCTGTCTCTTTTAGGCCGTATTGTCTTCATTCCCACTTTGCATTAGGATTCTCTTCCCTAAGAAACAGTTCACTTCCTCACATTACTGTTATTCCATTCCACCCATTCTCATTCCTCCTCTACACTCCTCTCCTTTCCTCGACCCTCCTCCAAACTTCTCACAACTCCCCTCCCCTCCTCTCCTCTCATCTCCCCTCCTCTCCCCACTTCAACCGTCCTCTTCCCTCCTCAAACTCCTCGTGCTCCAGATGAGGGTGAGCTCGTTTTCCTCTCCTGTCTCAGCTTGCGCCACCTCCCTGCGCACCTCAAGATGCTGCTGCTACTGCTGCTGCTGCTGCTGCTGCTGCTGCTGCTGCTGCTTCTGCTGCTGCTGCTGCTGCTGCTGCTGCTGCTGCTGCTGCTGCTGCTGCTGCTGCTGCTGCTGCTGCTGCTGCTGCTGCTGCTGCTGCTGCTGCTGCTGCTGCTGCTGCTGCTGCTGCTGCAGCTGCTGCTGCTGCTGCTGCTGCTGCTGCAGCTGCTGCTGCTGCTGCTGCTGCTGCTGCTGCTGCTGCTGCTGCTGCTGCTGCTGCTGCTGCTGCTGCAGCTGCTGCTGCTGCTGCTGCTGCTGCTGCTGCTGCTGCTGCTGCTGCTGCTGCTGCTGCTGCTGCTGCTGCTGCTGCTGCTGCTGCTGCTGCTGCTGCTGCTGCTGCTGCTGCTGCTGCTGCTGCTGCTGCTGCTGCGGCTGCTGTCGCTGCTGCTGCTGCTGCTGCTGCTGCTGCTGCTGCTGCTGCTGCTGCTGCTGCCGCTGCGAGTGCTGATGATGATGCTGTTGCTTCTGCTCTATCTGCTGCTGCTGCTTCTGATTCTGTCGCAATTGCCTCTGCTCCTGCCGCTGCTCCTGCTCCTGCTCCTTCTGCTGCTCCTGCTCCTGCTCCTGCTCCTGCTCTTGCTCCTGCTCCTGCTCCTGCTCCTGCTCCTGCTCCTGCTCCTGCTCCTGATCTTTATCCTGCTGCTTCTCCTGCTCTCCTGCTCCTGCTCATGCTCCTGCTCCTGCTCCTGCTCCTGCTCCTGCTCCTGCTGCTGCTGCTGGTGCTGCTTCTGCTCCTGCTGTTGCTCCTTCTCCTGCTCCTGATCTTGATCCTGCTGCTGCTCCTGCTCTCCTGCTCCTGCTCCTGCTCCTGCTCCTGCTTCTGCTCCTGCTCCTGCTCCTACTCCTGCTGCCTTTTCTGCAACTCGTATTCCTCCTCCTGCTGCAGCTGCTTCCCCACCCACTTCTACTTCCATAGGCTCCATAATGGATGCATACTGGCAACAGGGGCATCACCACGAAATTAACATGCCATCAACAGGCCAGGCAGCAAGGCACCCCTCACTGCCTTCCCTCTCATCCACAATGGGTGCCATCCTGGGAACAGGACCAACATGAAGAACATAACTGACCTTGGAGGCTCCTGAGCAGTCCCTCACTGCTGTTGCTGCTTCCCCTGCTACTACTCCCCAGTGTCTTCTCCCGCCGATGCTGCCCTGCCGTCTTCTATCCCCATGGGCTTCATAATAGATGACGTACTGGCAATGGGAGTAGTTGGGTAGAGTCATTCAGGCGCTGCTGCTGCCGCGATTGATGCAAGCCACTAGGTGACTGCACATGTAGCACAGGAATAGTGGAGGCAGAAAGTGCTCAGTCTGTAACACTAGTTGAGTTCTGATTATGTGTTTCATACTTGTATTGCTTATATGGATTGTATTGTACAATCCTTGTTTTTGTTACAGATATTCAAATAAGGATGTTATTTCAACTACCAACCTGTACCCACTACTAGGCCTTCAATCCTGACTTTCTTTATGGAGTGTTTAACGGTATGGTCAATATTCCTCCACCTCGTGTAGTAAGCTTGCAAAAGGGTATTCATTCCCAAGCGTGTGACACTCTATCCCTTGAAAGATATTACCCTCATTCTCTCACATGTTCCCCACTAGCCCCTTCACAAATAGCTCATCTTGCACTCTCTCCTCTCCACCTCTCTCCCTTCTCAAGCCCCCTTTTCCAGAAATCCAATCTAGAAAATAGTCTATGATTTTCTTTCCCTCAATGCCCCTCCGCACATGCCTCTTATTCCATTCCACCTGTCCTCTCCCCTCGTAATCCCCCCTCTCCACTCCTCAAGCCCTCTCTTTCCTTCTCACCACTCCTCACTTCTCCCCCTCCATCCTCTCCCTCCCCAGACTTCTTCACTCTCCTCTGCTATTTCTTCTCCTCATCCTCATCCTCCTCCTCCTCTTCCTCCTCCTCCTCCTCCTCCTCTTCCTCCTCCTCCCCCCCCTACCCCTCCTCCTCCTCCCCCCTCCTCCTCCTCCTCCTCCTCCTCCTCCTCCTCCTCCTCCTCCTCCTCCTCCTCCTCCTCCTCCTCCTCCCCCCCCCTCCTCCTCCTCCACTTGTTGCTGATATTGTGGCTCCTGATCCTGCTACTGATTCTGCTGCTTCTAATGTTGTTTCTGTGTTCCTGCTTATGCTGCTGCTGCTCCTGCTGTTGCTGCTGCGGCCTGAGCTTCTGCTGCTGCTGCACTGCTTCTCCCGCTGGTGCTTCTTGTTGTCTTATACGTCCATGGGATTCGTTTTGAACGCCATAATGGCAAGGGTGACATCATCAAGACAATAAAATGCCAGGCTGCTTCTGAGGCGTCTCTCACTGCCTTCCCTCATATCCATTTGTTTCTCTGCTGTCATATTTCTCACTGCCTTTGTGCCGGCGAAGGCAAGTGCCATCAAGACATGTTCAAGGACACAATGGAGTTACTGCTTCGTCCATGTCTCCATGATTTTTTTCAATAAAAGTGAGCTTCCTTTGGATAGGGGCACAGGGAGAAGTAGGGGGGAGTGGGTGCCATTAAGACCTGCCTTGAGCTAAAATTCACGTGAGCGTTGAAAAGGATGTTGTTGTACAGGGGAAATCAATCAGGGGTTTCATGGGTGAAGGGCGACCAAGGGAACTTTTGTATTATCCAGCACGCGCCTATGGGGCGGGTGTCTGCATATTTTTGGCAGAAGAAGATTCTGATTGCTGCATATGCAGCTGCACCTACTTTTAGAAGTGCTTGTCATGTTTCTTTTCATGTGCGTGTTAAACAAGCTGCGCTAGGATCGCAAGCTGATGAGTGGGATTGCAGTTTGGTGCACTGACAACTATGCTTGGATGCTCCTGCATCTGTTACTGATTTATGCATATTTATTGAGAACTCGGTAAGACAAACTGTTTGTGAGGCCAAATGGGCATAAGGCGGTTAACTTGAGTGTGGAGGAAAGGGAAGGTGGGGAGGATATTTGTAGAATCTATCTGCAATTGTTCTCTCAATTTCAATTGTCACCTGATTCCACTGGTATTATGAAAACAACGCATGCTGCTCTTTGAATACCATGAATATGTTGGGGATATAAGTGGATTGATGTGTACCATTATTGCAGCAGTGGGCAGCAGATCAAATCGATGACGTCCAAATTACTATTTCCCCACTCCCCAGCCTTGTCGACCCCTCACTTCCCTACTGAACGTACAGCTGCCCATATACAACGCCTTGGGAGTGACAGCAAGGGCGACCCTGGGCCACTGCAGCGGTGTGTGGTAGACTGCTTGCCCTGCACATCACATGTCATTTTCCCATGTACAGAGTTTACAACATGACACGACTATCAAATTCCATGGCTAGTAATGCCGACTAGATCGACATATGCTATTCTAAGTATATAGACAGCGTAAAATAATACATTGTGTGTTGAACCAATGGGATGGGTGCATATCAGAAGTTTAGACATGTTTGCTCTCTCCATTTTCTTTGCCCTATTTCTTACTTTCGTAGAGTGAACTGGATGACCAAAGTGGAGTGCTCTTTGGAAGTCCTCGTAGTCGCACTATAATGAATCCCCTTGCTGACCCTCGGGAATATCGAAGGATGTGTCCCTCAAGCCCAGCCTGGCAGCCATCGGCCGAAAATATCCAGGTGCACAGAAACAAAAACAGAGCAGGCAACTTCTTTGTTGCATTGCATCTCCAAAAGTCGAGCCTTTCCCTTGATATTTCCAGGTATCCAGCCCACAGGCATCAGTCGCTTTCGGAATTTAGTGCTTCGTGATAGGGCAGAGCTTGGGAGCTTATGATAGGCTTATGATGGCAAGGGTACAGCTAGCATAGACGAGTGGACCTCGGAAGCGTGATGGAAACTGAGTTTCTGGCGTTAGGCACGACGCTTCTAGTACGGGGATAGCACATGACGAATTGCACTACTAGTATGTTGTTTTTCAGAGCGTATATTCCAGGCTCTTGAAAAGCTGTCTGCTAGATTTACGGCTTTGTCGTTTTAGAGCTTATCTTGGAGCTCGTTTCAGTTACTATTATTGATTTGTATGCTCGCTCGACATCTATGGCGTGCTGAGCGATTAAGATAAGTATCGACGGCGCTGTTGCGAATGACCAATCAGAGCACGCGACGTTTCGAGTGGAGGTTAGAGGACCAGCTGTAAGAAGCAGCGGCTGAGTCGGAAGTTAATAATTACGGTCGCGACAATTGAACCGCGTGAGAAGGAAGTGAGTCGTTACAAAGGTTGTAGTAATTGAATAGAACGAGAATCTGAAGAATTTAGTTGAAGGATAAGACTGTAACCACGGCTGGCGGTGGTTCCTCGTTCGAGTCTCAGGAGCGATGCGATGCAGTGAGAGTTCGAGAATACGCTTATATCGGGGATGGCGAGTGCAGTCTCGGAGCTGGAAGATTAGGAGGAGGAGGGGGAGCAGCAGAACGAGGACTGGAATGTGGGAGGGAAATTGAAGGTGGATTTGACTATTTGGAAAGGCCTCAGGATATGTTGGGAGAGAGGAGCACGGAGAGGAGGTTTAATGAGTCGCTCCAACAGCAGCAACCTAGGAAGCAGGACGAACAGTGCCCGGAGAAGGAGCAGCAGCAGGAGCAACAGGGGGAGCGACAGGAGAGGCAGGAGAAGGAGCAGCAGCAGGAGCAACAGGAGGGGCAAGGGCAGGAGGAGGAGCAACATCAGGAGCAGCTGGAGGAAAAGCGCCTGACGCATAATCATCGCCTGGAGGGTAGGCCGTTAGGAATTTCTCACAAACCCGCAGGCCCAATCTCAAGCTCTCGTGCACGCCTAGTTTCATGGCGTACTGGCGCAAGCCAATGCCTAAAAATCGGCTCTGCGGGCTTTAGGCTCTTAGAGGAAAATGAACCAGACGGTTCTCAGACAGTTGCTGAGCTGCAAGGGCCTGTGGTAACCACAGATGCGGAGGTTACCGAAGGTGAGCTCGTAGTTGGGACTGCAGTGGTAACTAGGGGTGCAGTGGTAACTGGAAATGCAGTGGTAACCGGAGATACGGTGGTAACCAGGGGCAGAACACTTTGTGAAGCAGGCTCTGCAGGTGGGTCTGACAGAGGAAATCCGACGTCCAGGAATGAACCAGGACAGATTGATCCAACGGAGAGAAGCAGCTTAGGAGGGAGGCGTGGGTCAGCTAGGAGTGGCCATGGCGGAGCAGGGAGATGGGCAAGAATGGGAGGAGCTGGTGGGTGGCTCGCTCCACACCTTGCTGCTGCCGGCCTCATTCCAAACGCTGCCTTGACGCCTGCTGCTGGTCTATTTTCAAACTTAGACTCAACTCCTACTGCTGGTCAAACCCTGAATTCAGACTCAACTCTTGTTGCATATCTAACCATCAACGCTGCCTTGAATCCTGCTGTCTCTGCTGCCACTGCGAATGCCACTGCCACTGCTGCCGCGGCCGCCGCTGCTGCTCCTGCCACCGCTACTGCCACTGCCACTGCCACTGCCTTTGCAACTGCGATCTCCGCTCCGACTGCTGTTGCTAGTGGTGCTTCTGGTGCACCTCCTGCTACTGGTGGTGCTGCCGCTGCTTCTGCTGCTGATGCTGCTGCTGCTGCTCTTGCTGCTTCGTCCGGTGCTGGGGGCGTTTCTGCTGCTGCTGGTGCTGCTGCTCGAGTCACTTTAGGTGTTGGGGGTGGTGCAGAGAGGTCAGAGGAGGCACTGCTGGTGCCAGCGCTACACAGTGGGTTAAACAGTGGGAGCTGCGGAACAGAGGATAGGATCCTCCTGGGCCAATCAGATTCTGATGATCGCCTTGCTGTAGGGATTGCGCTGCCACGTCAGCAGCAGCAGCTTCCCGATCGTCGTCAGCAAGAGCAGCTGCCACATCATCTGCAGCTGCCAGCTCATCACCAGCAGCTGCCGAGTCAGTTTCCACAACCCTGGCACATGTGGCACGATCAGCACCGTCGACATCATCACGATCAGCATCATCATCACGACCAGCGTCAGCAGCAGTATCATCAGACTCAACAGCAACATCCATCCCGGTTGCAACACCAGGATCAGCATCAGCACCACCAGCAGCAGCAGGAGGAAAATCGTCCACCCTACGAATTTCTGCAACAGCGGCAGCAGCACCAGTTGCAGCAACAGCAGCAGCAGCAACAGCAACACCATCAACTGCAGCAACAGCAGCAACACCCCCAACAGCACCTGCAGCCGAGTCAGCACGCTCTTGAGGGGCAAGTATGGAGAGGAAGGGAGGTGCTACAGGTTGTACCTGCAGGCTCCCTGCTCCTGAGCTTGAGGGGGAGCCTCGGGGAGGGTGGAACTGGGGAAGGCGGGACTGAGGATGGGGAGGCTAGCGACCTTAGGACTGGTATGGTTAGGGAGGAGGGAGGAAGGGGGGAGCGGAGAGGAGGGGGGAGAAGAGAGGAGGAGAGAGGAGGGGCGGAGAGAGCGGAGGCGAACAGAAGAGGGGAGGAGAGAGGAGGGGCAGAGAGAGGAAGGGCGGAGAGAGGAGGTGTGGAAAGAGGTACTGGGATGGAGAGAGGGGTAGAGGCGGAAAGAGGGGAGGGAAGGGAGAATGGGTTGGGGGTAGCGCGAGGGGTGGGATCTGGGAACGGGGTAGGGGTGGAAAATGGGGTATGGGCGGGGAGAGGTGCAGGTATGGAAAATGCAGCTGACGTGATAAGGGCATCAGAGGAAGGGAGAGGGGGGGGCAGGGAAGGGAGATGGGGAGGAGAGGAGGTGTTAAGGGTTGATAGGAATTGGGGGGATTTGAGAGGTAGCTGGGGAGAAGCTGGGTTGCTGTGGCGGAAGGGAGGAAGAGGAGGGAGAGGAGGGGGAGGAGAAGAGGCGGAGGAGGAGTTGGGGGAGGAGGAGGAAGCTGTTGCAGGGTTCAGCCAGGAGGAGCGCTATGTGTGGAGGGGTAGGGAAAGACCAGGAACAGTAGGTGGCGTTGGGCGAGGTGGAGGGTGTGGATTAGAGGAGGGGGGAGGAGGAGGAGGAGGAGGAGGAGGAGGAGGAGGAGGAGGAGGAGGAGGAGGAGGAGGAGGAGGGGGGGGGGGGGGAGGGGGAGGAGGGGGAGGATGGGGAGCAGTAGGAGAAGGGGGTGAAGCACACGCAGCTGGCGAGAGAGGGAATGGTTTCCCCCGGGCGAGGTCTCCCATACCAAAGCAGATTTCGCTCTGGCAATCCACAGGCAGAAACCGAGCCAAGCCGCGCGCAGGCTCGGCAGGAGGTCCGGGTCTAGGCCTGGAACTAGGTCTGGGAGTCGCCCTGGAGCCAGGTGCAGCATCGTTCCAAGCAGAAAGGAGAATCCCCCAGGAAATCTCCACTCTGGATTTCCATGCAGGTGTGACAGCTGCTATAGCTGCTAGGGGTGGGCTTGCATCTGTCTCTGCAGCTGTGGCTGCCCGTGTGTCCTCCCCCACGTCTACTGTTGCCGCTGGGGTGTCTGTTTCATCCCCTGCTTCCTCCCTTGCCTCTCAGCTGCCTTTCCTTGGCCGAGGGTCGTCTCTGCATGGGATTGAGTGGGGGAGAGAGGTGAGGGATGGGAGGGATTGGAGAGGTGGGAGAGGAGGGAGGGAGGAGAGGGAGGGGAGGGAAGTGCGAGGAGGGAGGGAGGAGAGGGAAGAGAGGGAAGAGGGGGAGGAGAGGGAACGGGAGGAGGAGTGGGTAGTGATGGAACAGAGGGAAGGGGAGGAAGGAGATGAGGGGAGGGTAGGAAAGGGCGAGCAACAGCAGCAGCCACGCCAAAAGCAGGAGGAGGGACGTGCAGAGGGATTTGAGATGCTCAGCTTGCAGCAAGGTGAATATCCACAGGTGCAGCAGCAGCAGCAGCAGACGCATCAAGGGGGGCTGGTAGGAGCTGAAGCAGGGTCAACAGGGGCTCCAGCAGCCATTGCCACGCCAGCACGCCTTGAAGCGCAAGCCTTGCCTACCTCCCTACCTCCACTCCCCCAAACCTCGCCTCGAGGCTTGGGCCGAAGCGCGGACAGGTTCGGTGCCGAGCCTCGGCCTCTGGTTAGCACAGCAACAGGTCGGGATGTTTCTCCCCGACCACCCAGGATCGAAACCAAGGGAAGTCAACTGTACCCAGGTGCTTTTCAAGGGAGTGCTTCTAAAGGATGTGCTTATAACGGGGATGCCTTCAAAGGAGCTGCTTTTAAGGGGGATGCTTCCAAAGGAAGTGGTTTCAAAGGGGTGAGCTCGACCCCTGGTGGGCAGTGGTTTGCACGATTGATCAAGCCTAAGGCTTCTGTTGGAGGGAATAGGATCATAGGAAAGGGAGGAGACAGAGGAGGAGCAGACCGACCAGGAGCAGACCGACCAGGAGCAGAAATACCGGAACCTCGTGGGATGTCTCAGTGCCAACCCCTCAAAGCCTCTCCCAGTCCTCTCACCCTTCTTCAGTATCAGAAACACTCGTCAGCAAGGGATGATAGGGCTGATAGGGTTGATAAGACTGAGAGGGTGGACAGAGCTGAGGGGGCGGACAGGGGGGACAGACAGGGAGCAGAAGCTCCAGAGTCCCGTGCAGTCTCCCCCCGTCCTCTCTCCCTCCTTCAGTATCAGGGGCTCTCGGGCTCGGGAGCAAGGGCTGTAGCAGGAGGACCAGCTATAGCGGTACCTACGCCAGGAGCAACAATGGGGGCGGCTGTAGCAGGAAGAGCAGCTGCAGCAGGTGTGCCGGGAGCCGCGGCGGGAGAAGCTGTTTTAGGTTCTGCTATGCTGGGATCGGCTGGAAATCCTAACTCTAATATGAGACCTGCTGCTTTGCTGGGAGCCGCTGGGAACCCTGACCTTAATCCGAGGCCCACGACAAACCCCAATTCGGCCTTACGGCTTTGGTCAACCCATATCCCTGACTTGGGCACCTTGCGAAACCCTAATCTGACTGCTCGGGCGGATTCGGGCAAGCAGGCAATTAGTGCTGGTGTTGGTGCAAGTGCAGTGATGGGTGGTGGCGGTGGCGGTGCTGCTGCTGCTGTCGCTGCTGGCGCTGCTGCTGCAGCTCCTGCTGCTGCTGTTTCTGCCACTTTTGCTCTGTCTGCTGTGGGTAGTGGTGCTGCTGCTGCCAGGGGGTTTGCTGGGACGAAAACCTTCCCTGCTGTTTCCATACCTGACGCAGCAGGTTCGGCTATTCACGCACCTGCAGGCTCGGACTCCCTTGCTGCTGCAAGTAGGTGTGTGGGAGGGCCAGTGCCTGGAGGTAAGGGAGGGAGGAAGGTGCGTGGAAGGTGGCAGGGGGAGAGGGGAGGAGAGGTCGCGAGGGAAGGGGATGAGGACGGGGAGAGGGGGGAAGAGAGGGAGGAAGAAAGAGGGGACGTCCAAGGTGGGTATATTCCATCAGTTGAGAAGGGTGCAAGGAAGGCGGAAGGGGAAGGAGAAAGAGGGGAGGCACAAGGGGGGTATGCTGCTTTAGCAGCGAGGGGTGAGAGGAAGGGGGAGGCGGCAGAAGCACAAAGAGAGACGCAGGTAGAGCAGCTGTTCAGGGCAAGGGACGGGCGGGCAGTTGAAGCAGCAGGAGAGGAGCAGGGTCGTCTTATGGGAAGTGGAATAGGCAGAGGGGACACGTGGAGGAGAGGGGGGTATGGGGCAGGAGTGCAGGAGGGAAGGCAGGAGGAGAGGCAGGAGGAGAGGAAGGAGGGGAGGCTGGATGGAGTGGTGGGCAGGGTGGGGCCTTGCATAGGGAGAACGGGATATGGAGTGCAGGAGAAAGGGCAGGAGGGACCGCAGGAGAGGAGGCAGGAGAAAGGGAAGGAGGTGTGGCAGGAGGGGAGGCAGGATGACAGGCTGGATGGCGTAGGGAGAATGGGTTACATGCGGTACGGAGTGGTTGATGCTGCAGCGATGGGAACAGAAGGGAGGTGTCTGGAAGAGCTGGGAGAGGGGGAAAGGATAGGCTTGAGAGGTGGAGTGGGGCAGCTGTTACCAGATATGCATATGGGGCAGGAACGGGTGGAGCATGATGAGAGTAGGGAAAGAGAAGGCGAGAGAGCAGATGGAGGGAGAAGAGGGGAACGAGGGGAAGGATTAGAGCACGGCAGAGGAAGGCAGGGGCGGGTGAGGCAAGAAGGGCCGAGTGGGTGTGATAAGAGGGATGTGGTACGAATCCTGTGTGATGAGAAGGAGGAGGGGCGAGGGAAGAGAGCGAGAGAAGAGAATGAATGTGACGACGGTGTTGCTCCAAGGCATGAGAGGGAGGAGGGGCGGGGGAAGAGGAGGGGGCACCGAGGGGAGAGAGACGGTGAGAGGCAGGAAAAGGACAGAGAGAGGAGGATAAGGGAGAAGGAGCGGGCGGCGGTAGGAGGTTTGTTGCCAGATGAGCAATCTGCCAAGCTGGCAGCGCTGCGGAGGTGGCGACAGGACGCCGCCAGGTGGCGCGAGGAGATTGGCTGGCAGGAGCGGAGCCTAGGGCTTGTTGGGAAGGGCATGGGTGTGAGGCAGTTGAATGGGGTGCGAGAGGGTGGAGAGGGAAGAGAGGATAGAGTGGATCGAGGAGGAGGGGGTGGAGAGGGGATAGAGGGAGGAGAGAGAGGAGAGGGAGTAAGAGAGGGGGATGATGGAGAAAGGGCGGAAGGAGAGGAGGGGAGAGAAGGAGCAGGAAGGGGTATGGATGGTGGAGGAGAGGAAGGCTCTGCTGCCACGAATACTGATGCTGCTGCCGGTACTGGTGATGCTGGTGCTGGTGATGCTGTTGCCGATGCTGCTGCTACGGCTACTGGTGCTCTTAGCAATGCTACTGCCCTCCCCCCAACTGCAACCAGTGCCAGGTGCATGCTCCTTCCCATCCTGGAAATCGGCTACCTGGCCCTGGGCCGGTCCCTCATTGGCTGGAGCCCCCGCTGTGATTTTTGCGGGCTGCCCGGCCACACCCTGTTGACTTGCGTTGAAACTCTTGACTCCGAAACCTCGGCTCTGATTGGCCGGCTGGGTGCCAAGGGGGAAGTGGACAGGCGGGTAGAAGGGAGGAAGCGGAAGAGGGAGGAGGAAAAGAGGAGGAGGAGGGGTGGGAAGAGGCGGAGAGGGGGAGCGGGAGACGGGGAGGAGGGGCGAGGGAAGAGGGGGGAGAAGGAGGAAAGAGTGGGCTTGGGTGGTGTGAAAGAAGGAGCAGGGGACACAGGGGAAGGTATTACAGCATTAGGTGGTATAGAATCCTTAGGAGGAGATATTATGGGGGAAAAGGATTTTGTAGGTGGGGTTGGGGACGGGTTAGGTAAGACAGAGGAGTTGGGAGTGGTTGCAAGTCTGGCTGGAATTGGTTCCTATCTTCCCTATGGAACCCCTCGACCTTCTTCTGTCCCGCTTGCACTTGCAAAGGCCCTGGGCTTAAAACGAGGACTGGGTGTACTGAACAGTAATAGCGAAAGCGCTGGGCGTATGTCGAGCTGTGGGGGGAACAGTAATGCGGTTATGGGAGCGCTCTTTAGTGGAGCAGGTGTGGCTGGAGCAGGTGCTACTGAGATGGGGAACTGTAATGTGGGGGGTGGCATTTCAACTCCCCATGAGTTGGTGGGTGGTGGAGCAGGGATGGGGATGGGAAGAGGAGGAGGAAGGGGGTTCGAATTTCTAGCCCCTCATGACTTGGTGATTGGTGGAGCAGCAGTGGGGGAAGGAAGAGGAGGGGAGGATGTTGGGAAAGAGGGGGATAAGATGAGGGTAGTGGCTGATGAGTGTGGGGTGAAAGGTGGGGAGAGAGAGCAGGAAGGAGGGCGAAGCAGCATGAGGGGATTGGAGGACGGGGAGGGGAGCAAGGAGGGAGGTAGTGAGGAGGAGGAAGTGGGGGATGGGAAAGAGGTGGAGGAGGAGGAACAGGAAGGAGGGATGTGTGTGGGTGGGCGTATGGAGGAGCAGGAGGGTGGAGAGGAGAGAGTGAAGGGTGGGGATGAGCGTATGGAGGAGGAGGAAGGGGAGAAGGGAGGGGAGGAGGGAGAGGATGCGGGCAGGACTGATAACAGGACAGCAGGGGAGGATGCTGGGGAGGAAGGAGTCGGGGGAGAGGGAGCAGGTGGGTCAGAGGGGGACGAAGGAGGAGAGGATGAGAATAAGGGAATGGGAGACAAGGATAAGGATATGGAGTCAGAACAAGACAAAGACGTGCCGACCCCCGTCTGCCTGTGGTGTCTGGCAGAAGGTCATTGGGCGGCGGAGTGTACTGACCTGGCAAGAACCCGAGCGAAGCACGCGACTAGTAGCAGGGAGACAGCTGGCAGGGAGACATCAGGTACGGGCCGGGCCACCACAGGCACTGGCAGGGATACCACAGGTACGGGAAGAGACACGATTGGTACGGGAGCTGGCACGGGGGTTGGTACGGGGGTTGGTACGGGAATTGGTACGGGAGTTGGAGGAACTTCGTTGACGGGGCCTGGGATGGGTCGAGAGGTGTCGAACACAGTTACTCTGAGAGGCCTGGTGTTATCAGGTAGGGAAAAGCTTGGCACTGGAGGGGAAGCAGTTGCACTAAACAGGGAAACACCAGGTGAAATCCCAGGGGTCCACGCAGTGGAAGGTAATGTTTCAGCAGCAGGGGATGGCACACTTGTCACAGGCAGGGAAGCAGCTGCATTGGGCAGAGAAACCCCAGGTGAAATCCCAGGTGAAATCCCAGGGGTCCACGCAGTGGAAGGTGATTTTGCAGCAGCAGGGGATGCCCGTCCGTTTGCTGGTCCTCTAATCTCCTGGACTCTTGATCCTCCCAAACCCCTGTATGGTAATCCTCTGAGCCTGCTTGACTCTTACACAGCAGCAGCGGCAGGAGCAGCAGCAGCAGAGGCAGCGGGGGGAGCAAGGCTAGAAGCAGCAGGGGGTGGAGTAGCGACGGCAGAAGCAGCTGCAGCAGAAGCAGAGGCTGGGGAAGGTACAGTAACGGGAAGGGACACGCGCAGGCTAGGAAATCGCCTTGGTGTAATTGATACAGCAGCAGAAGCAGGAGCAACGTTTACAGTAGGGGCATCCATAGACATACCATTTGCATCACACAGAACCGCTGGTCCTGCAGCAGAAGCAGGAGCAGGTTTAGTAGGGGCAGATATAGGAGTAGTCGTAGGGACAGCAAGAGAGTTAGCAGAGCGGATTGCGGCAGGCGATTTGCCAGTCTCTGTAGTGCACAGAGCCACAGGTGCAGTAGCAGACACAGGAGCAGCTGGAGCAGTAGCGACAGCAAGAGAGGCAGCACTGGGAGGTGTAGCAGGCGAGGCGTTAGCACCTCCTTGTGCTGTTGCGCACGGCTTACCTGCAAGCGCAGGTGCTGCAGCAGCTAACCTGGCGTGTTTTGAGACGTCTCAAAACGGCTTACCTGCAAGCACAGGTGCTGCAGCAGCAGCAGACCTGGCAAAACGGGAGGCTGGCAGAAGCACTGATGTGACCGGGAAACGGGAAGATGAAGTTGGGGGCGCATGGAACGCTCCTGCTGTTTTCCCAGGCTGGTTTGATCTCTTCGACCCACATGGCACAGCACAGGAAGGCAGCGGCTTGCCTGCTGCCTTGCTCGCTTCCATCGAATCGCTGCGCCTCTCCCGAAGGGATATTGTCAAGTGAGTGTTCCCACCCGCTCCCTCTCGCTTGTGACATTGTAACAAGGTGATTTTTCACTCTGCTCATAAGGGGGTATCAGTCTGCCTCCTGCCTTGCTCGCTTCCATCGAATCGCTGCGCCTCTCCCGAAGGGATATTGTCAAGTGAGTTTACCGCCTTTCCCTTCTGCATCCTCCTTCACCTCCCTCTCAACCCTGTTCACACTACTCCACACCACACCAAACCACATCATACCGCACCGCACTGCGCGGCACCAACTCAGATGCCATTCAACATTTTGACCTCGTCTAGGGTCTGTCTATCTGTCCTCCCACTGCGCCTGCAGGATTCAAAGCCATCCAGGTGTCAGAGAACGAGTGGTTGGCTTCTTCCTCCGCCTCCGATTGGGAAAGAAAGAAGAGGATTTGGGCGGCACGGGTTACCGCATGGCCAAAATTACAGGTTTGTAACAAATGCCCTGGCACCTGCTAGCAACCATGCTATCCCTCCCCTCCCCCCCCCCCCTCCCCTCCTTCCTTTCCTCCTCTTTGTTGTCTTCTTCAATGCGTTCAATTGTTGTCATTTTTCTGTATCTTTCTGCACGCTTTATTATGTGTTGTGTTTTCGTCCAGGTGTTGTGCGCAAGCAAGCTGTTGAGTCTGTACCCTCATCGGCTGATTCGGGCGGAATGGCGCTCACTGTAGATATGGGTGACGGGGAATATACTGTAGACGGCCATTACGTCTCCAACAAACCATTTCTTGAGGTTAGTAAAATTATGTTTTTGGTTTGGCCTTGTTTTGAGCCTTCAGTCTCCTTCAATCGCTGTCAGCGTGTTTCTTATGTTATACTGTTATTTTTTATCATCTTGCCGTCTCTTTTGCGCTGAGTCTGTGATGCAGGTTGAGGTTGTTGAGTGGTGTAAAAAGATATGGCAGAAAGGTGGGGCCACGTTGCTTGCTCCTATTCTGTGTGGCAAGGATATCGAGGCCAAGATATGTGAGAGAAGAAGCTGGACCTGAAAGAGGGGCATTCCGGTAACAGCTTGAAGGTTGCGTTTTTCTGTGACATTCCAAGTGTTTTTTTCATTGCTTCTAGTTATTTAATCAAATGTTTGTTCTGCATAAAGCCCTGGGGCTATTCCACCTCAACTACACTCGCACCCTCAGAATCATAAATCTCGTTATAACTGCGGGAGCTGCACGTGTACCTTCCCAAGCAATGGCTGGCTCGGCGATCTCGAGGGGCCAAAATGGCTCGGCAATTTCGACGTGAGCGGGGAAGGCTGGCTCGGCAATCTCGGGGCCCGAAATTGTTGGAGCTTGATTTCTTGCTCCTCTCAGCGAATGGGAAGCGCTGTAGAAAGCAGCAGCCTTGGTTTGGGATCTTCTGAAGAACAAACTTGACTTCCATGCTCCAGCCTCCCATGCTCCAGTCTCCCATTTCACCAATCACCACCACCACCTGGGAAGTAGGTATTTTTCACCCACATTCACACCACACTCGCACACAATTCTGTGTTGCTGGTGGGGTAGTGCTGGTGGTGCTGGTGGCGCTGGTGGCGCTGGTGGCTCTGGTTCTGCTAGTGGTGGTCCTGCTTGTAGCTGCAGCGATCTGCTACCTTTCCTGATCAGCCCGTGCATTACCTCTTCTCCTGATCTCTATATCATTCTCTCATGGAATCGTATCATGAAGTCAGTACTTTTTGAGGAGTTCATGCCTCAAGGCGAAGTATTGTCCTGTGCCACAGCCGTCACAGCTCATTCGCTGCGAAACAGCTCGGCAGTTAGACTGTTAGGGCGTTCCGCTCGGCAACTTGGAGGCTTGCTTGGTCCTCTAGTTTAAACTCTAGCCAACACGCCTTTATCAGGCCCCGCTTCTTTCGCGTAAGACTCGGCAGATCGCCGGTTGGTAACGAGGCATAAGAAATAGTCAGAACTGGTCTGTGCGACTCGGTTATGGCGTTCGTGTTTAGCCTTCGCGTACGACGCAATGCGAATGGCCTCCGGTAGGGCCTTTTTTTTTTAGGAATGCGGATGATCGCAGCGCAGATCGCGAGCGGATCTTTTTAGGCAAATTACCCTGAATTTCTCTGTCGAAAATAAAGCGACTCCCGAGTGAAATCAAAAGTTGTCCCCATTTTATCGTGGGGAATACGTGCGAGAATTGAAGAGCTTGAATTACCCTAAATTCCCCGTGCACCGTCTAGTTTCTTCCTGATTTCGTGAGCATTCGAGCACTATCGAGCTTGCACTTTGATAGCCGGATTTAAAATTTCCTGCCTCCGTTACGCGAAATTCGCCCCGTCTAGAGTAGCATTCGATTCGAACCCTCATCTGATTGTGAAGGTAATCTACACTCATAATGAGGCTACATCCTAGTAAAGGCGGAGCCGCCTCCTTAAGAGTAGGCGCCACTCGCGCCGTCTTATCATCTCGCGTGCCCGTCCCTAAGAACCTCCGGCCGAAACCCCCTCCGCTAGTCGCGCTCTTCACCTCCCCTGCGTTCTTCAGGCTCCTAGTGGTCCTTCTAGCTCTCTCTTTCATCACTTTGACTGGTCTGTCTTTTGTCGAAATCGAGGAGGACACTGTCGAGAAAGCGATCACGCGACAGCTGATGAGCGCAGATGAAGACGATAAGGGCGGCAAGGGATCGAGCAACGACTTAGGCGTGCACCTCGCGAGAGACGAGGAGGAATTACCGGAGCAGCTGAAGCAGCGGTCGCGCCAGTCCGACGGCGGGGAAACAGCGGAAGCGGGGGTAGCGGGGGGAGCGGGGGGCGGAGAGGGGGAGGAGGAGTCCGGCGGGGATTCCGGCGATCAGAGCGACTCGCTGCACGTGCACGTGCATCTGATCGCGTCGTGCGATGTGGAGTCGGTGGAAGAGAGTCTTGACATGCTGCAGCGTAAAGTTCTCTGGGACGAGCATTACGTGCCGCTCACTGTCCTGCTGGACTGCCAGTAAGTGAAACATACAAGGAATAGTACACTTTTAACATTTAATATGAAATAGTAAATACCAGTACAGTAGCGTCTTATGATGTGGAGTCGGTGGAAGAGAGTTTGGATATGCTGCAGAGTAAAGTGCTCTGGGATGAGCATTACGTCCCGCTCACCGTTCTGCTGGACTGCCAGTGAGTGAAGCATACACGAAATGGTACACTTTTAACCATTTTCAATACGAAATTACTAAGTGGTGGCTTATGATGTGGAGTCGGTGAAGAGAGTTTGGACATGCTGCAGAGTAAAGTGCTCTGGGATGAGCATTACGTTCCGCTGACTGTTCTGCTGGACTGCCAGTGAGTGAAACAAACACCTGTTGTCTATGTTTCAAGATTGAATGGGAATCATATGTAACAAGTACAGTAGTGTCACACAAGATGTGGAGTCGGTGGAAGAGAGTTTGGGCATGCTGCAGAGTAAAGAGCTCTGGGACGAGCATTACGCGACGCTCACTGTCCTGCTGGACTGCCAGTGAGTAAAACATACACGAAATGGTACACTTACAATTTGCAATCACAAAGCCATAACGCCCCTCACTCTGTCCCTCTGTAGCCGAACCACTCAAATCCATACCGTACCCCTCAAAACCCCTCCCACTCCCCTCGCAGTGACCCCAAATACGAGTCAGCCATAATGCTCGCCACTCGCCGCGTGCAGTGGCGATTTGGGCCCTACACCGTGCGATCCAACGCCCCTACCATTGAAACTGCCACTGCCAGAACCGCTGCTGCTGCCGGGCTGAGGGGCGGGAAAGGCGCCGCTGCTGGTGGCGCTGGTGCTGCTGGTGCTGGTGGTGGTGGTGGTGGTGGTGGTGATGGGGAGGAGAGTGAATGGGCTGTTGTGTTTCCAAGAGACAAAGTCAAGGCAGCTATCTTTCAGAGGAGGAGGCTGCTCGGGTGTAATGTCACTGCAGACAGGGGAAGTGGTTGTGACAGAGGTGATTTGGATGAGGAACCTGTGGATGGATGGTTTGGGTTTAACGAAACGGGGTCTGGGTTTAACGAAAGGGCGGACTGGGAAGAGGGGTTATGGGCGCCTGGGGAGTTTCCACAGGGCAGGGGAGATGCTCTCTTGGGGAAGAGCCGAGAAGGGGATGTGGTTTCGGGTTTAGATGTGGGTTCGGGTGTGGGCGGAGGAAGGCACCTATTGGGAAAAGCAGTTGTTGTGGCAAAGAAAGGGGCAGCGGTTTCCGGTAAAGGAGCTGCGGTGAAGGGTGGACAGGCGCAGGGCAAGGGTAAGGGTGCAGCAGCAAAGGCTGGTTCAGCCGCAGGCGCAGCGGCTGGTTCTAAACTAGGAGGTAAAGCCGGGAATGCAGCAGCTGCTGCTGCTGCAACAGGCGCCAAAGCAGGAGCAGGAGCCAAGGCAGGCAGCGGCAAAGCTAAACCGGGAACTGTTACCAAGCCGGCCAAAACAGCGGCTGCTGCTGCTGCTGCTGCTGCTAAGACCACCAGCGCTACAGCCGCCGCTACATCTACTACAGCCGGCGCTGCACGGGGCGGCAGCAGCGAGCTGGCGGTGCTGACCTTCCTGGACGCGTGGCGGCCGAAATCCGCCCTGGGGATCGCGTTCTACCTGCGGGATTCGGCGCGCGTGTCGCCCTTCTTCTACCGCTTCCTGGTTGACTCCGTTGAGATGCTGGCGGGGGCCGCTCCCCCTAGTGACGATGGGGGGGACAGTGTTGGCGAGCTGTATTCCAGCCCGCCGTTCTCAACGCTGTTCGGGATCAATATACTGGACCCGGGCACCACACCAGGTGAGCCTTCAATCCCAATCCCACCCATCCACAAATCCGCCCATCCACCCACTCTCTCTCTCTCTCTCTCTCTCTCTCTCTCTCTCTCACACACACACACACACACACACACACACACACACACACACACACTAATATCTCCTCCCTCGAACCACTCCATCCCTTCTATCCTCCCCAGTGCCCCAGCAGCTCCCTCCCGCATGGCACCTGCACTGCACCATTCACTGACCGCCGACTGTCAGTTCCTCCTCCCAACCCAACCCCCTGTGCTCCTCTCTCCTTTCCATCCTCCCCCTACGTGCTCCCCTACCCATCTTAACTATTCCCCCCATCAGTGCCCCAGCAGCTCTCTCCCGCATGGCACCTGCACCAGTCGCTAACAGTCGACTGCCAGTTTGTCTTCCCAACCCCTTGGGAGGAAATACTCCTCTGGCGCCGCTCCTTCCCCAACACCTCCTTCTCCCTCTCCCTGCCTTCTTCCCTCCCTATCTCCCTCATCCTTCCCAGTGCCCCAGCAGCCCCCTCCCTCATGGCACCTGCACCAGGCTTTGACCGTTGACTGTCAGTTCGTCTTCCCAACGCCCTGGGAGGAAATACTCCTCTGGCGCCGCTCCTTCCCCAACACCTCCTTCACCCTCTCCTCCACCGTTTCCCACCTCAAAGACGCCGCCTTTGCCATCTCAGCTGTAGCGGCTTCCCGTGACGGTTCTGTGAATCTTCAGGGGAAGTTTCAGGGCCGGGGGAGGGCGGATCTGGGGACGGATTACTTCACCAGGACGTGCCAGGCGGATCCGGTGCAGCAAATACACTCGTTACTCGATAGCCACGGGCGGTTTAATCTGCTCGCACCGGACATTAACGGGAGTAGCATGTGCGTGTCGCTCGCACCAATCAGGAAGCAGGAGGAGCGGGCGAAAGGGTTAGTAGCAGCCGCGGCCAAAGCGAAACGGAAACTGAACCCGAAAGAGGCTGCAGAGGTAGCAAAGGCGAAGAAAGCCAAGGAGGTGTTGCTTGCGAGACTGTTTGATGATCCTCAGTATGCGCTAGGAAAGGAGAGCCCCCGGGTTGTTAGAGCGCTGGAGAAAAGCGCAGTAAGTGCCGACGCTTTGCTAAGAACGCCCCGAACGGACATGTGCGGGCGGCCGGTGCGAAGGGGACTGTACGCTCAAGATGTGAAAGGGCTCCGGAAAATGCTGTCGGTGATTCAGACGAATAACACTGTCGTTGCCGTGATGACAAGCGTAGGGTTTGCAGATATGCTCACCAACTGGCTGTGTTATGTGCGAGAGCTAGGGTTTACGAATTTCTTTATTATTACCACGTCGGCGAAACAGGCATTGGATTTGTTCGCCAAAGGGCACGCAGTGTTCCTCCTTCGGCCGTCATTCATTCACCTCAACTCCTCCCTCCCCGGCACCCTCTCCTCATCTTCCTCTGCTGCTGCTGCTGCTGAAGCGGCTCACTTGAGAGCAGCGGCGTATCTGCAGAGTGCGGGAGGGGACGGGCAGCAGCAGGGGTCGCAGCAGGAGCAGCGTGGGGGGGGGAAGGTGGGACGCACGTTGCTAGGGTTGGAGGGGGCAAGGGCAGAAGGGGACGGTTTGGTGGTGACTTTTGAGCCAACTCAAAAGTCACCTCGTTACAATGGCACGCGCACGTTGCTGGGGTTGGAGGGGGCAAGGGCAGAAGGGGACGGTTTGTTGGGTGACTGGATGGAAGGCAGACATGGGAACAGACTGCTTATGAGTGCTGGTGGCAGCGGTGGAGATGGGTTTGGAGGGGTTGGAGGGGTTGGGGATGGAGGGGTTGGGGATGGAGGGGGTGGGGATGGAGGAGGAGGGCAGGGGGGGAGGAGGAAGGCCAAGTGGGGGTTCAGGCTGGTGGCAGCGGCTAAGGCGATGAAACGGGCGGCAAGGCGGGTGGCGACTGCATCTGGTCTGAGGCGCACTCCAAACATCACAGTGCCGTTCTCTATGGAATACGGGGGGATCGGATACAAGCAGGTAGGTTGACAGGAAGGCCAAGTGGGGGTTCAGGCTGGTGGCAGCGGCGAAGGCAATGAAACGGGCGGCACGGCGGGCGGCGACTGCGTCTGGTCTGAGACGCACCCCCAACATCACTGTGCCGTTCTCCATGGAATATGGGGGGATCGGGTACAAGCAGGTAGGGATAGATGAAGGCATAAGCTGGTAGGTTGTTAGAAGTGGGGGTGCTTGTATGGAAGGTTGGGAGGATCTGTCCGGACCAAGATGCACCCCCAACATCACTGTTCCCTTCTCCATGAAATATGGGGGGATGGGGTACAAGGAGATAGGGAGCGATGAGAGCAGGTAGGGAGGGATGAGAGCAGGTAGGGAGGGATGAGAGCAGGTAGGGAGGGATGAGAGCAGGTAGGGAGGGATGAGAGCAGGTAGGGAGGGATGAGAGCAGGTAGGGAGCGATGAGAGCAGGTAGGGAGGGATGAGAGCAGGTAGGGAGCGATGAGAGCAGGTAGGGAGGGATGAGAGCAGGTAGGGAGCGATGAGAGCAGGTAGGGAGGGATGAGAGCAGGTAGGGAGGGATGAGAGCAGGTAAAGATGGCCGTGCCCCTCATTCCCTCTCTCCCCCTGATCGCCCCTCAATTCATCCCCTCCCCCTTCCCCCCGCCTCGCCCCGCCACCTCTGCAGCGCTGTTCAAGCGCACGCGATTGGTGGGCCCGATTCTCAAGATGGGGTACAATGTGCCCTTGCTTCTAACATCACTGTGTCTCCCCTTCATCTCTCCCCATCCCTCTCCACCCCTCCCCATCCCTTCCCCACCTCTCCCCCCCTCCTACCACTTTTCCTTCCACCACCTCTACAGCTGCTGCTCAAGTGCACGCGATTGGTTGGCTCAATTCTCAAGATGGGGTACAATGTGCGGCTTGCATTTCAACATCAATGTTTCTCCCCTTACATCTCTCCCCACCCCTTCCCCCCCTTCCCCCTTTCCCTCCCCTTCCCCTTTCTCTCCCCCCCCCCCCCCCCCCCCCCTTTGCCACCTCTGCAGCTTCTGCTCAAGCGCACGCGATTGGTGGGCTCGATTCTCAAGATGGGGTACAATGTGTTGCTTGCTGACGTGGACGCCGTGTGGCTTTCCGATCCGTTCGTCCACATGGGCAACAAATCCGTGGACATTTACGGGCAGGTGCGAGGATGTTTACAGGCAGGTGAGGTGACATTTACAGGCAGGTGGGATGATATAGACGGGCAGGTGGGTCGGTGGGCAATGGGCAGTGGGCAGGTGAGGCAGGGGGGAGGTGAGGCAGGGGGAGGTGAGGCGGTGGGGAAAACGGGGGTGGTTGCTTGCTTGTGCCACAGTCAAGGGTGGACGCAGTGTGGCTTTCGGATCCGTTCGTCAACATGGACAACAAATCCGCCGATATTTCCGGGCAGGTGAGATGCCATTCACGGGCAAGTAAAATGACATATATCGCAAGTGAGGGGCGGTGGCCTGTGGGCAACGGGTTGTGCGGCAGGCAGGTTCCTTTTCCTGTGGTAAACCCCCCAAATGTGGTAACCCTATTCTCGCATGGCGTTTCTCTTCCTTGCTTGACTTCTCGTGTGGTAACCCTAAAGGACCATGTTAGACGGCTGTACATATATGCACATCTAGGCAACAATAACCGTCTGTATATGTGTTTCCTCCCTCTTTGCTCTCCCTACGCTTCCACCACCTCTCAGCTTGAGCCTTCTGGTCAGCTGTGCGGGGGTTTCCTCTTCCTGCGCTCCACACCCCGTGTGGTAACCCTATGGGACCAACCAACATGCCCTCCCTATTTCCTCTCTCCCACCTCTTTGATCTCCCCCCTTCCCTCCCCACCTCTCAGTTGGAGCCTTCTGGTCAGCTGTGCGGGGGTTTCCTCTTCCTGCGCTCCACGCCGCGTGTGGTAACCCTATGGGACCAGGTTACAGGCCTGTACACGCGCACGTTCAACCGCATGGCAAAGGAGGCACTGTACAAGAAGCCAGAGGAGATGGGCGCGTGGCTCAAGGTGCGTTGTAACCGCGTGGTAACCAATGGTAACCCTCTGGTAACCACCGCACGTTCAACCGCATGGCCAAGGAGGCGCTTTACAAGAAACCAGAGGAGATGGGGGCGTGGCTCAAGGTGAGATGTAACCCTATGTAGTGTGGTAACCGCATGGCCAAGGAGGCACTGTACAAGAAGCCCGAGGAGATGGGGGCATGGCTCAAGGTGAGTTGCAACCGTGTGGTAACCACACCAGAACCCTACATAGTAGTGTAGTGATATCCCTATGGGACCAGGTTACATTGCTGTACACGCGCACGTTCAACTGCATGGCCGAGGCACTGTGCAAGAAACCCAAGGAGATGGGAGCCTGGCTCAAGGTGAGATGAAACCGTGTGGTAACTGTATGGTAGCCCTAATTACTGTGGTAACCACGTGGTAACCCTACCTCTAACCGCATGGCCAAGGAGGCACTGTGCAAGAAACCCGAGGAGATCGGGGCATGGCTCAAGGAGAGTTGTAACTGTACGGTAACCATGTGGTAACCCTGCGTACTGTGGTAACTGCATGGGTGAGGAAGCACTGTACATGAAACCCAAGAGATGGGTGTGGCTCAAGGTGAGTTGTAACCCTTTGTGGTAACCCTACATCCACCTTCTGAACAGTGGTAACTCTTAGGTAGACTTGTGGTATTTCTCTGAGGGTTTGCCTCGCTCCAGTCTATTCCTGTGCCATATTTTGGGCGGCTCAACAACACCGTTCCCCCTCTCTCCCCTTCCCGAACCTCATCCCCACCACCCCCCTTCTCCCTCCCTCCCACCACAGCAGTTCGAGCATCTGCACGAGCAGCGGTATTTGAACCAGCTGCTGGGGAAGTGGTGGAACAAGGTGCAGGTGCGAGGGCTGGATATGCTCAAGTTCCCCAACAGCACCTCAACAATACATCCCCTGTTTCCCCAATATTTGCTCCCCGCCCCCTCAGCAATTCGAGCATTTGCACGAGCAGCGGTATCTGAACCAGCTGCTGGGGAAGCGGAGGAACAAGGTGCAGGTGCGAGGGCTGGACGTGCTAAAGTTTCCCAACGGGAAGGAGTTTTTTGTGCAGCGCGCGCCGCAGCAAGCAGAGGTGGCGCCTGTGGTGATTCACAACAACTACATCAAGGGGAAGAAGGTGCATGTGACTGTGGGGCATGTGACTGTGGGGCATGTGACTGTGGCGCATGTGACTGTGGCGCATGCGAGCGTGACTGGCGCTGTATGTGTCCGGTGAGTAAAGAGCGAACGTGGGTTATGGTGTGCCAGTTTGGAAGTTTGGATGACTTTTTGCAATCATGCAGACTTGGCTGCTCCATCATGTGCAAATTTATTTACTTACCAGCACTTGTATCCTTGCTGCACTTCTTGTGGAATTTTGCAGGCCAAGATTCAACGTTTTAAAGAGTTTGGCTTATGGCGAGCTGATCCAAGTGGAACCTCTTGCCTTTGCCTCTCGTGCCCATCGCAAGCTACCACCACACAAAAAGGAGCCCTGGGTAGACATTAAGAGTGTTGGGATCCTTGTAGTGATATTGCACCAGAGGTGATTTGACATAGGTCAGATTTCTACTCTGTTAGAAAATAGCCTTCGGTGTTATGCATCTCATTGATGTTCACAGGATGAATATTGCTAGTATATAGTACATCAAATTTGTGGCGAGAGTACCGGAACCAATCATATGATTCCTAAAGAATGTGGGGCAGATAGGTTGGCTTTTCTTATCGCTGAGGCTAGTCGCCGCTGCCATCGCACGTAGCCTGCGCCAATGGAATGGCTCGGACCGGGTCGCAAGTACGATGTGACTGCTGTGTCGGCAGGCAAGCAGCCAATCAGCTCGTAAGATGCTGGCTGTACGACGTGACCCTTGCTTCGGGCAGCCTGCAGCCAATCATTTCGCTTTACGCTATCGCCCGCTGCTGCTGACCACATATCACCCTTTCAGCTTGTGCCAGATTCCTCATCCATTCACGCCATCTCCCGCCTCCTCGATTTCAGACTGTCGCCGCCAACTCATTGGGGAGGCGAACGGAAGTGAAAAACAGCAGTCACGCACTCGTCGTCGCCTGTAAATGTCGCCCACAGATATGCAGGCAGGAGTCCGAAAGAAAGCGTCGCACGATGATTTGTTTGCGTTGGGGAAAGTCGCCTGGGTCGGTCGCACCTCTGTGGTGGATGCACTGCACCTCGCTGCTTTCTCGGAATTTGTCGTCACACGTTCCAAAACTGTCGCGCACCTGAAACCTCTTCTCAAAGCGCGTTCTCGGGCAGGCAACTTAGGACGTGGGCCCAATCGACTTTGATCGGCGCGATTAGAGGCGATTAAAACTTCGAGGAAGGCGGGAAGCAGATTTCAGGCAATCGGGGGCAATCAGCTGATCGCGCCAACTCAATCAACCGCCTCAAACAGCCCGATCAGACCCGATCAGACACAATCAGCCCCAATCACTTGATTGCATATGATCGGCGATCTGGACGATGTACGCGAAATGTAACATGCCTCGCCATGAGGTCTTGAAAATTCTTGCGAGTACGCCCAGATCGGCGAGAACTGTATGCCATAGCCATCGGCGAGATTCGTCCGTCTCGCCAAAGTTGGGATGCAACTACCAGGTAATGGGCCAGCAGTTTTCATGCAAGAGCGCAAAACATTCGAGGAAAATCCTCTCTGATCGGGCAGTGCGAGAAATACGATCACAAGCAATCCGATCCGACCCAAAACGCTCCGATCAGAGCCGATCAAAGGCAATCAATAACTTGTATGAAGGCAGGAAGCCGGTTTCAGGCAATCAGGGGCAATCAGCTGATCGCAATCAGCTGATCGCTCCCAACTCGATCAACCGCCTCCAACAATCCGATCAATCGCGATCAGACACAAGCAGTCCCGATCACTTGGTTGCATGCGATCGGGGGACTGGACGACGTTCGCGAAAGGTTACACAATCGACTAGAGGTCTCGAGAATATTCCGCTCTTGCCTGCGGAATGGCGAGAGCAGTATGCGAAGGTTCTAGACTGACATTGTCTGCAACACGATTTTCGCGACGTTACCATGATAGTTGCGCTCGCCAGTCTCGCCAAAAATGGAAAGAAAAAACCAGGTAATTGTGTCACACTTATCAGACAGGCTCGTAGAGTTTTCGAGGAATATCAGCTTTGATCGAGCGGCGCGGGAAAAGCGATCACAAGCAATTCGAACCAATCCAGCCCGAACAATCCGATCCGATCAAAGTCGATTGGGCCCGCGTCCTCACTTTTCCACCTCCTTCTGGCAAGCCTCAATGGAAGCCTGCTTTTTGCCTGCCTAAACTCCCACCTTTGTCAGGTTCGGTTCCCCGTTCCCAACTTCTCTCAGCGCACCCCTTACAAATGACACTATCTGCAATGACACAATCGCCCTGCACATTTCCCTTTTTCCCCCCACCTCCACTTCTCCAACCTGGTGCTTTGTATGGCGGGCTGCCCGGTCGCGTGCCGTCAGATTTTGATGCTCCAGTGACTGACAGAACAAATCTTGTTTCAAAGAATCCGTGTTTCAGAACCCTGATGACCAACCAAACATGAACCATGTCACGACGACATGCCCTGACAATGCAGCAAAGGACGCACCGCCGCCGCCCTTGTCTTCCCTCCTTCCAGCCAGCCCTAGTTCCACATCTCCCCTCTCCTCCTCTCGTCTCGTCTCTTCCTACAGTATCCACTCCACACCACACTTCCCTCCAGGACTGTCTCGGGACTAACACAACACTGGATTCAGAACACTCGAAACCAGACTGGATAAGAAGTCCCAGAGCAATTTTTAGGGCAGGAGCAACCGAAACTAAAACTCTTGGATTCCATAGTTCTTCCCACCCCTCCCCACCCTCCCTCCCCTTTCAAGGCTCTCTTTTCCTGCTCTCCCAGATGCTATGCTTGAAGCTGCACACGCACCCATTCATGGTCCGTTCTCCCAACCTCCGACCCTTGTCAGCCACCGCATGGAGTCCCCATCTCATCACATCCTGAAAGCTCCATCTCACAACACTCTCTGACATGTTGGTTCAAGTATCTGTATGAGGAAGGAACCCTAAAAGGGTCACGCTGCGTCGGACACTGCAAGAATACACGTTTATGAAATCCGAAATTTTTTGTTATTACGGTCATTGTTGTTGCGTTTTTTTCTCGTAGAGATGAAGTATCCGTCGCTCGTTGGTGCTGCTACCAGCACCAGTTACCAGAATACGCGAGTGGAAATTCCTTGACAGCACAACTGTTGAGAAAATACGCGACAGCAAAATTGTTGATGAAGGTCGCTATCGGTTTGGAACGAGAATCAATACGGCCTGACTATCGTACCATTTACGCCTCTCAAACGGTCCGATCCTTTCTCTTCCTCGGATAACTCATTGCCGATAGCAACTGCCAGAGCGCTTTAGATTGCGAATTCATCCGATCTATTAAATCTGAACCTTATCTGATTCGCCGTCGCGTGGCGATGGGTCCTCGCACGACGACCAGCGCGATGTGCGGGCTCGGCGTTCGCATGAGCCCCAAGGCAACGATTTTCAGCACGAGCGAGGCGGCGTGCGACGTGTACGATGCGGGCGACGACGCCGGCGAGTGCACGTGGGCGTCGCTGCCGCCCGAGCTGCTGCGCGACGTGATCGCACGCGTGGAGGCGAGCGACAGCTCGTGGCCCGGCCGGCGCAGCGTCGTTGCGTGCGCGGGTGTCTGCCGCTCTTGGCGGGAGCTTACCCGGTACGTACCACCTTGTAGCGACTCGCTACGTGATACCTTTGTAATGACTTTGTACCACATGCGTTGGTGTCATATATTTCTTTCAATTTAACGAAAGCCAGCCACGGTCGGCGGGAGCTGACACTGTACGCTTTGCTTTTATCAGAAGCGTCTCGACGATGCGGCAAGAAATCATTAGATTTCACTTAAGGAGGGCGCTCTCGAGATTCGCCGTGCTCTACCACTGTACGCTTTGTTCTCTGCGCACCTCCCCTCTCTGCTCTCCTCTCTCGCCCCGCTCCGTCTGTTCCCCTTCGTTTCCCCGTCCCCAAACTCCCCTCCGCCCCATCCCGCAGCCCCCCCCACGCGCAGGGAGCTGCGGCAATCGCAGGGGTCATACGAGCCGTCGGGGCAAATAACGATCTCCGACGAGCTGAGGAAGCCCCGGCCGGGGCCGGCACGTTCGCGCATCCACCATCCCCACTTTCTCCCATCCCCTCTTTCCCGCTTCCCCATTTCCCCCCTTCCTCCCCTTCCGCGCATCCCGCCCTTCCCCCGATCCCACCTTCCGCCCATTTCTGCCCGAGACAGCGAGCTGCTGCAATCCCAGGGCTCGTACGAGTCGTCTGGGCAAATAACCTTTCCCGACGAGTTAAGAACGCCAGGGCCGCGCGACCGCTGCGTGGAGTGCTTCATTCGCCGCTCGCGCAAGACCGGCACGTTCACGCTGTTTCTGGGCGTGCCGCCGAATTCGACGGAGAACGGCAAGTTCCTGCTCGCGGCGCGCAAGTGCGGCTGGCGGCCGTCAAGGTAAGCGGACGGCCGGCTATTTAAAACAAATCTTTTGACCCTAAACCGGAGTTGGTGTTTGTGCTTGTAGCCCTATTCTGCCCGTTTTACAAACCCTTGTTTCTGCTGGTTACGCTAATGCCTTCGTTCGCTCCAAATCGCACACCTGAGTTTGTGTCTCGCAAATTCACGTTTGCATGGAAAAAGTGTTTGTGCTGGTCACCCTATTGTATCCGTTTCGCTCTGTTTCGCAAAACTTTCGAAATCATTCCAGCATGGAGTACGTGGTCTCCCTGGATCCGAAAGACTTTTCGCGCGGCGGAAGTTCGTTCGTCGGTCGCCTGCGAGCGAATTTCCTCAGCACGCGATTCGCCGTCTTTGAATCGTCGCACGAGGTGAGCGTTGCAAATATCCCTTTTTGTAACAGAGCAAGTTCTCGGCGGATCGTTCGCAGCTACCTTAGAGCCCAACACGCACAGGTGAGAAGTTCGTCGCGAATTGCATTGGCGAAAGATTGAGCACCCAGAAACGTAGTAACCAGCTCCAGCTGAATAATGCCTTTTTTTCTCTCGTCATTCTTTGTTTGCGCTGATCCCCCCGTTCCGTCTCCTCATCCTCCCTTTCCCCCTTCCCCACCCCACCCCCACGCGTTTCCCGCGCCTTCCTCCGCGCAGCCCGCATTTTCTCTCGGCGCGGCGTCGCTGGCGCACGGCGGAAGCAGCAGCAGCAGCAGCCGCAAGGTGCATCCCCGCGGAGCCGCTTTTTCCGCCAACGGTTACCACCACTGTAACCACTGTAGCACTCGGTGTGGTAACCACCATTGTGGTTACAACTGTGGCAGCAGCAGCGCGGGCAGCAGCGGGGCCGGCACCCCTGTCGCGTGTAACGGTAACTTGGGCAGCTTTAACGGTTCCGGCTGTAGCGGCGCCAGCTGTAGCAGGGGTAGCGACGGGATAGGATTACTGGGTGCAGGTATTACCAGCAGCAGTGGCAGCGGCAGCGGAATTGGTGGTCGGGGCGATTGTAACGGCGCAAATGACGCGGACACGGCCACGTCAGCAGCGGTATCGTCAAGCCTCCGCGCACATTCCCCGTCCCTCTCAGCTTCCCCCTCCGCCTCCGCCCGCGCGCTAACCGCCTGCCTCTCCCGCTCCGCCAACAACCTCGAGGGCTTCCGCTCCCCGCGCCTCCCTTCCGCCTCCGCGCCCCCTTCCGCTGCGCCTTCCCCTTGCCCCGCCGTCTCCGACTTTGCCTCCCCCCAATTCAAACCCAGCTGCATCGGCAGCCCCTTCCCCGGAAGCAGCGCGCACAGCTGCGGGGGAGGCGCAGGTGGGGGAAGCAGCGGGGGGATTGGCGGGGGAAGCGGCGGGGGGAGCGGGGGAAGCGGGGGGAGTAGCGGGCCGGTGGTGTCTGTAGCATATGCGCTGAACGTGCTGGGGGTGCGCGGACCTAGGCGCATTCTCTGCACTCTTCACCAGGTCCCCGCGGGCGCGGCGGTCACTGGCGGAGGGGGAAGCGGGGCGGCAGGCGCGGGGCGAGGCGCGGGAGGGAAGGCGGGGAGAGGAACGGGGGAGGAAGCGGGGGGGGGAAGGGGGGAGGGGAGGTCGTTGGCAAGGGGGACAAGTGGGGGGAGTGGGCGGGGATGGGGGGACGCTTCCGCGGTAGCGGAGGCAGCGGGGGAGGCAGCGGCGGAGGGGGCCAGGCGGGCAGCTGCAGCGGCAGCTGATGTTGCTGGCACCGCCGCCGCTGCTTTAGGCTTAGATCCCGTTACAGGCACGTCCGATACAGGCACGTTACGAAGCCCGCGTCCTGCCACCCTTCCTCCCGTTACAACCTCTGATAGAAGCTCCGTTTCAACTCCTCCCGTTACAGTTCCCCCTAGCACCCCTCCCCCTGCTACCCCTTCCCCCGCAACTGCTGCCGTCCTAGCCGCTGGTGCTGCCGCTGCTGCCGCCACCTCCCCGCTCCTCTCCTCCCTCTTCCATTCCAACCGCTATAGTCACACTCGCTACAGTAACCACTCGTGCGATCTCCCAGAGGAACAAAAATCGGATGAGCAAGCACCTGGCCAATCCCAGCCTCCCACGTTTACCTCCTCTTTCACCCCTTCCCCGCTTCCCCGCCCCTCCTGGCCCTCATCCCCCGCTTCTTCCCCCTCCGCCGCCCACCCTGCTGGCGCAACCTCCGCCCCGCCCCACTTCCCCGCCCCTTCCGCCCTCCACTCCCCCGCTTCCCCCCCTGACGTGCTAATTGCCCCCACAGGCTCCTCCGCTTCTCCCTCCCCTTCCGCTTCCGCCTCAGCCGCTCCCCCCTGCCCCGCTTCCGCCTTCCCCCCTTGCTCGAAGCTTCCCTCTTCCGCGCTGTCTTCCGCCTCCCCCGCCGCCCGTTCTTGCGCATACAGGCTCAGTGGGGGGAAGGGGGAGGCGGGGGGGATTGTGAGTGAGTTTGAGTGGGGAGGGGGGGAGAGAGAGGAGGTGACTGTAGAAGAAGTGACTGAAGGGAGAGTGGGAGGGCGGGAGGAAGAGGGGAAGGGAGAGAGAGGGGAGGCGAAGAGAGTGGAGAGAGGGGAGGTAGAGAGGGAGGAGGGGACGGGAGAGGAGAGGAGGAAGAACGAGATTGAGGAGAGGCAAGAGAAGGAGGAGAGGGATGAGGAGGAGAGATTGCTGGTGAGGCTCGCAGGGAGTGGAGAAGAGGAGGGGGAGGGCGAGAAGCAAGAATGCACAGCAGCGGAGGAAGCAAGGGAAGCGAGGGAAGCAAGGGAAGCGAGGGAGGCAAGGTCTCCACCCACAATCTGCACAAGAGAGCCCTTGGTCTCGTTCCCAGAGAGTGGGGAAGAGATGAGCGCAGGAAACGGAGTGGTGGGGCGCAGTGGAAAGGAGAGTGATGAGCAGCAGAGCGGTCGGGAAGAAGGAAGTCAAGCAGAGGGCAGGTGGGAGAAGAGGAATCAAGAGGAAAGCAGTCCAGAGGACGGGAGTTTAGAGGAGGGGAATCGGCAGGAGGGGTGTGGGCATTGGCGGACAGACGGTGCGTGTGAGCAGCAGGAGAGCAGTGGAGAGAGGAGGAGTGAGCAGGCGGGCCAGCAGCAGGGCTGGTTGCAAGGCGGAGGTTTCCAGGAAAGCAGCAGCGAAGACGTGCATATCTCCCCCTTTCCCGTCTCCGCAGACCCCTTCCTCCCCCCCGCTGCCCTTGAGCTTCCCCCTGCCGCCCTGCCCTTGCCCCTGCCCCTGCCCCTGCCCCTGCCCCTGCCCCTGCCCTTGCCCACATTGGAACTAGAAGCGGCACTAACAGCAGCAGCAGCAGCAGCATCAGCAGCAACAGCAAGCAGAACGGCATGGTCAGAAGCAGCAGCAGCAAGAGCTGTGGCTTCACCAGAAGCAGCAGCAGCAGGTGCCAGAGCTGCGGCGGCTGTCACTCCCCCATTCGCCTCCTCCTCTCTCCCCTCGGGTCCCTTGACTCCCCCATTCACCCCTTCCTCTCTCCCTGCTGCAGCTGCGACTCCCCCATTTGCTGCTTCGTCTGCCCCGTCTCCTGCCGCCCTTCCTGCTGCTCCTTCTGCTTCTGCTGCTCCTTCCCCTGCTGCTGCGCCTCCTGCTTTCAATGCAGAGGCAGATGCAGAGGGGGATTTGGAGGGTGACTGTACGGAGTGTGACTGTGTGCGGTGCATCGGCCGAGCGCCTCTAGAGCCCATGGTGTTGCGGAACAAGCCACCCAGATGGCACGAGCAGCTGCAGGTATGTGTGTGGGTGCTGGGGGGTGGGAAGCGGTGCACAGGAGTACAAGGTGGCCGAGCGCCCCTAGAGCCCATGGTGCTGAGGAACAAGCCTCCCCGGTGGCACGAGCAGCTGCAGGTATGTGTGTTTATTGGGGAATGAGGAGCGGTGCACAGCAGTACAGGGGAGTATTAAGTGGTGTTAGTATGGAAATAGATGAAGCCGAGCGCCCTTTAGAGCCCATGGTGTTACAGAACAAGCCTCCCAGATGGCACGAGCAGCTACAGGTATGTGTGTGGGTGCTGGGGGGTGGGAAGCGGTGCACGGGAGTACAGGGTAGTTCAAGGGAGTATGAGGCCGAGCGCCTCTGGAGCCCATGGTGTTGCGGAACAAGTCTCGCAGATGGCACGAGCAGCTGCAGGTGAGGGGATACAAGGGGATATGGAGGAGTGCAAAGGAGTATAAGGGAGTATAAGGGGGTATAGGGCAATGTAAAGCTTTCTATCATGGGCCGAGCGCCCCTAGAGACTGTGGTATCGAGGAACAAGCCTCCCCGGTGGCACGCGCAGCTGCAGGTGTGTGTATTGAGGAAGGCAATTACAGATTAGAAAGCGAAGTCTGTCATGAAACATTGGGCCGAGCGCTCCCTCCCCTCCCCTCGCCTCCCCTCCTCGCCTTCCAGTGCTAGTGCCTCAACTTCAGAGGGCGAGTAACGGTTGCTTCGGTGAACAACTTCCAGCTGATAGAGGGGGGCGGGCCGGGGAGCATCTCAGATAAGGCCCTTCCAATCCTCCCTTGCATCCCCTTTTCCTGTCCATCCCATACACGCTTCCAGTGCTGGTGCCTCAACTTCAAGGGGCGAGTGACGGGGGTGCTTCTGTGAAAAAATTCCAGCTGATAGAGGGGGGGGGGGGGGCGGGGAACGACTCGGACAAGCCCCCTTCTCATCCCGCCCTTGCCTCCCCTTGCCTGCCCTCCCCCTCCCACACTGCCAGTGCTGGTGCTTGAACTTCAGGGGGCGAGTGACAGTGGCTTCAGTGAAGAACTTCCACCTCATAGAGGGGGGCGGGCCGGGGAACGACTCTGACAAGCCGGTGCTGCTTCCCCCTTTCCCACCCCCTACCCGCCTCCTCTTTCCCGTACTCACTTGCAGTGTTGGTGCCTCAACTTCCGTGGGCGAGTGACAGTAGCTTCAGTGAGGAACTTCCAGCTCATAGAGGGGGCGGGCCAGGGAACGACTTGGACAAGCCGGACCTCATCCCCGCTTGTCTCCGCTTACCTCCACTCCCCCGCTCCCAGTGCTGGTGCTTGAACTTCCATGCCCCCGCTCCCCTTGCCTCCCCTTGCCTGCCCTCCCCCTCCCACACTGCCAGTGTTGGTGCCTTAACTTCCGAGGGCGAGTCACAGTCGCTTCGGTGAAGAATTTCCAGCTGATAGAAGGAGGCGGGCCGGGCAACGACTCTGATAAGCCGGTGTTGCTGCAGTTTGGCAAGATCGGGAAAGATACGTTCACCATGGATTACAGATACCCTCTTACAGCGTTCCAGGTGGGTGCTTCTATCTGAATGAAAGTGTGTGCTTTCAGGTATTGATAGCCAGTGTTGCTGCACTTAGGAAAGGTTAGGTAAGGATACACTCACCATGGATTACAGATGCCCATGCACAAGCTTCCAGGTGGGTAGTTTCTCAGGTGGGTAGTTTCCCAGGTGGGTAGTTTCTCAGGTGGGTAGTTTCTCAGGTGGGTAGTTTCTCAGGTGGGTAGTTTCTCGGGTGAGTTCTCAGGTATTGTGTTGACATTCTTTTCCCAGTCTCTCCTCTCCCATGTTCTCTCTGTGCGTACCCAGATCAGATGCGTTTTCCTTTTGCCGTTGCTTCCTTGCTTCATATCACATCTCTGCAGTTCACCTCATCTCTACATCTCTCATGTCATGTGTGTGTGTCCCCACGATATGGGTGCTTTCCCCGTGGTGTGTCTGTGTGTGCCTGCATGCATCACATGTCCAGGCGTTTGCCATCTGCCTGAGCAGCTTTGATACCAAAGTGGCGTGCGAGTGATCCCATCATCACTTCCATTATCACGCGAGCTGATAGCTTCTCAACTTCAAGCTGTCGTTGAGTCGAGCTCAAAATCCAAGTGCAAGCAAAATAGCGACACAGACAGCTTTTCACGTTGCGTTTTGGATGGTATGGTGTGGTGCTGTTGATGCGTGAGGACAATTCCTTATCAAGAAACAACTAAGGGCAGCAATTGAGAAGAAGAGTGCATGATGATATTTGGGAGACTGGAAGAAGATTTGTTCGATGTGCTGATACAGCGGGTGGTGGCGGTGGTATAATTTGTCTGCTGTGTGGCGCTATTTGCGGATGCAAGGGTAAGTTTCTTCTGAAGATCCAGGATTTTTTTATTAATTATTTCAGATATGGGTTGGTCATTAGGTTTGGACAAAAGTGTTGAGGGATGGATGGGATGGTGATGATGGCAGATTTAGGGATGTGGAGAGGCAGCTTCACTTGTTTTCTATTCCATGTACTCTTAGTATTGTAGCAAAGTTATGGCTTATGTTTGTACCAGAGTAGGTCTGTGGCGAATACTCAGTAGTTCACGCAAGCTCCGTTGCCAAGCGTGCATCTGCCCGTATCGGGTACAGGCGGATTCTCAAGTCTCGGACAATTGTCGGTTCAGCTGATTCTACAACGGTCAGCTTGATACCTAGGCTGGTTGGGTAGGGTATTTTGAAACTTGATTCAAATCTGACCAACTAATAAATGCAACTACCAGTCCTCGGCTTCCACTTCGTTCCTGTGACATAGCCGTTTCTACAAGCTTCGCTGCTTAGAGTCCAGTTTTCCTCCACTCCCGCTTTATCCATGGCCACGTCAGCATCCGCGGCGCCGGAGGCATGGCTGCAGAATCAGCTCCTAGCGATGCGCGACGCGCTGCCGTTCCTGGATTCTGACATGGTGTCAGGCTTAGTCAGCTACTGCCCTAATGCCTCCGATGCTGACGTGGCAGAGTATCTTTCAAATATCGTCGGCGAATCGGATCAGTCCATGGCCGTAGTTTCCGGGTATCTGGAACGAAGACGTCAGATGAAGCAGGGCGGCTCGCCGTCTCAGCCGCCGCAAAATCCTCCGCGAAACGCTCGAGGAAAGCAGCAGCACCGGCAGCAGCAGCAGCAGCAGCAACAACAACAAGCGCAGGATTATAGTCACACCAAATACAGTCACGAGAACCCTAACATCGAGGTCTACGTGAAGCCCAAGTTCGACGAAGCTTCCGGATCTGTCTCCGCGCCCTCGCGCAGGACCGGCGCAGGGGGAGGGTTGGGGGAAGGGGGAAGCGCAGGGGGCGCGGGGGCTCCGGAAGGTGCGGCAGCGAGCGGTGCTGCTGGCGGAAAGGTTGGCGGAAGGACTGGCGGAGGGGTTGGCGGAGGGGCAGGAGGAAGCGCGAGCGGGGGGAAATCCGCGGGCGGAAGGAAGCGGAGGGGCGGATTGGCGGTGGGGTTGGCGGATCTAGAGCAAGGGCGGGTGTTTAAGCAAGGCGCGCCGTGCGAGTGCCAGGCGGCCATCCATCACTTAGTTAACAACTGCTTAGCGTGTGGCAAGATCGTGTGCGAGCAGGAGGGCGAAGGGCCGTGTAAGTTCTGCGGCTTTTTGGTGCTTAGAGGGTCTGATAGTATGGGGGATGCGGCTCCAGGGGTGGGAATGGAGGGGGAATGGGAGGAATGGGATGAGGTGGGAGGAGTGGGAGGAGCAGCAACAGGGACAACGGAAGCTGAGGCGAAGGCTCTAGCGTTTAGGGATAGACTGGTGGAGTATAATCGTACGTCGGCCCAACGGACGGTGGTGATCGACGATCAGAGTGATTATTTCAAATCCAACGGGGCAGATGGGGATGGGGATGCTTGGCTGACGAATGAGGAGAGGGAGATTTTGAGGAGGAGAGAGGAGGAGAGGGAGAGGGAGGAGGAGGAGAGGAGGAGGAGAGTGGTTGTTACGCTCGATCTGATTGGACGACGGGTTCTCGTGGCGGATAGCGCTGGGGCTGACGTGGCAGGTGGTGGAGCTGACGCGGCAGGGTCTGCGGGAGCCAAATCAGGGCAGGAAGGTTCTGAGGAGCAGACAAAGGGTGCAAGTAGGGGGGCGAACGGGAAACCAGGGGGAGGTAGAACTGGTGTAGGCAGTATCTTCCTGATGAGAGGTCAAGGAGGCCAAGGAGACAAGGAGCAAGGAGAGAGGGAGCAGATCCCTACAGTGAAGCAGGAAGTGGTTTCAGGGATAAAAGTGCTTATAAAGGGGGAAGGTGGCGGAGGGGGAGGTTCGGCAGCGGGTGGTTCGGGCCGAACCCAGCTCATGCCGAGCCCAAACCTTCCAATTGCAGCTCCGGTGTTTGTTAAACCAAGCAGTACTAATAGCAGTACCAATGGTGCTGGTGCTGGTGGTGCTGGTGCTGGTGGTGCTAGTACAACTGATGCTACTGGGCAGGGCAAGAAGGGGAGCAAGGGGAAGAAGGGGCAGCAGGAGCAGCACCATGGGAAGGAACAGGAGAGTGACAGAAGGAGAGGTGCTTATAAGGAGGGCATGGCGAGGCTTCAGCATGACTCCCCACTGATGGAAGCAATGAGAGAGATAGAGGAGGAGGTGGGGGGGAGGAGTGGGTGGGGCGGGAACAGAAGGATTGATAAGGAGAGGGGTTCGAGAGGAGGTGGGATGGGGAGTCACGGAGTGGGGTATAGAGGGGTATCAGTAGGTGAAGGGGGGGGTAGGGGAGGGATTGGGAGAGGGGCGGCAGGAGGGGGATTGGATTCTCGGGAGAATCGAGATAGGGATGGCCCGTGTGGTATCCCTGCTGACCTGGCAGGGCTTGCTGACCTGGCAGACGATGAAGCTGACGTGGATGGGAGGTTTGACATCTGTGTGCAGATGGACCAGCAGGGAGGGTTGCTGAGAGGAGTGGGGGGGGTGAGGGGAGGGAGGGGGGTGAAAGCTGGGATTGATGGGGGGAGAGGGGGAGTGTTGCAGGATGGGGTGGTGTTGCTTAAGGGATGGCTTACAAGGGAGCAGCAGGTAAATTAGTGGCTGATTCCACGTTTCATTAATCCACGTGTCATTTTCCTTATGTTTCCTGCTGCCTGTCATGACCTGTCAACCTTGTTATTCTTGTGAAGCTTATCCTCTTGATTGACTATACTGAACTTGCCTTGAGACTCTAAAACCTGGTGTAACCCTTTCTTTTGAGTGTACTAACCCTTCCTGCAGATTGACATTGTGAAGGAGTGCCGTCGCCTTGGCCTGGGACCGGGAGGATTTTATCGCCCGAAATTCCTCAACGGCGGGCAGATGAAACTTCACATGATGTGTCTTGGGCAGCAGCACTGGGAGCCAAATCTCCGAACCTACCAGCCCCGCCGAACCTATGTAGATGACGCCGAACCTCCCGCTCTTCCCCCCTCCATCTCTTCCCTTGCCGTACAAGCCGTCTCTGCTGCCCAAACGGCTGCCCGAGCCACCTCGGGCAGCAGCAACAAAAACATTCTCCCAGACATGACACCCTCAGTCTGCATCGCAAATTTTTACTCTCCCCGGCGCGGAGCCCTAGGCATGCATCAGGACAAGGACGAGCCGCCCGCTTCAATCCGCCGGGGGGCGCCAGTCGTCTCTTTCTCCGTGGGAGATGCGGCGGATTTCCTATTCGGGTGGCAAAGAGACCCGGAGAAAGCAGCGAGGGTGGTGTTAGAATCAGGGGATGTGGTGGTGTTTGGGGGCCCGTCTCGGCTGATGTTCCATGGCGTGCCATGTGTGCATGGCGGCACGGCGCCTGATTGGTTGATTCAGGTGACCGGGCTCCGACCGGGCAGACTAAATCTCACGGTCAGGGAGCTTTAGATCTTGTTGCGATCAGAAGTAGATCGTAACCAGGATCACCTCAGGAAGGTTCGCACACTTCTAGTCTAGGTGGTGGTGGGCCCTTGACCTCAATAGCAGAGTGAATGTAAAATGCTTGAGATGATAAAAGCATGCAAATACAACGATATAAATAAGAGTACAGGGGAATACGAATCGACCTAGCTAGCCATGTACTCTAAGGGGTACATTCTCTTATTCAAGTTCATTCCCATCCGTGCGGCGCGTACAGTTACGAATCTGTTCCCGCCAGAATCCTTCTGCCTGCAATTGCCCGATGCCGTCTGCTTCGACGGTCCAGATGCATTTCAACCGTTCGAGTCAATTCTGACTCTTCACATTCGTTTTCGATACTGCATGCTCCTTCAGCTGCGGTCGGGAGTGCACTGTAATCTTCATTCATTGCTATTCGTAACAGATCTCCCTTCCATTTGAGAATTCTCAAAAACGGCCAGGGAGCTGTCGATCGCACTTGCACTCCCTAGCAATTCCCTGGATCCTGATAGTGGTTGCTAGGCAATCCAGCTGAAAAAGGGCCACGTTGACTAGCTACAACACGGTAGCGTATGTTAAAAGCTTGCTTCAGCTCGGCACGTTGACCACTACACTATGATTGGGACGATGATGAATATATGTGGTGCATGCATGAGTCTATTAAGAGAGCTTGTCTGATCATTTATTGCATCCACTAGTACAGCACCACCACCCTGAAGAGTAACAATGCAGGCTTGTCCCTTCCCCCATGCTCTGGTGTTCAGAACTGTAGCAAAGAACAAGTGCAGTCTGTAGCCTCGTCTCAGCAACTGCTGCCGCTACAGGCTACAGCTGCCAATCTCACTGCTGCCACAGCAGAAGGGCTAGCATGCCACAGCTGCTGCACCTGCAGTCTCACTGCTCTCGCAGTGTGGCCGCAACAGCTTCTTCAGAATAATATTGCAGCAATTGTCTCAGCTACAGCTGTAACAGCTACTTCGCTGCAGCCACCTCTGCTCCAACCTTCCCAGTGCCAACCCCTGAACCAAGGACTCTGCCTTTTCCATTCCCACGTTAGAATCACATCTCCTGTACAGCGAGCTGCAGGAGACCTTCACCTCAATCACAGCGAGCGTGAAACACACCCTGGCACGCCCCTCCCGCCCAATTCGTGCGCAGTGTACACTGTATAGCTCACCTCAAAACTCGTCAACCAAACCAGCTATTATTGTACCATTTTCCGAATCTCGGCATTTTTCAGCCCCCAACGAAACACCCCACGGCAATCGCACCGCCTGTCACGCAGCCGTTGGGTTCTCTCCCACTCCACGCGCCACGCGACGAGCTCCACCTCGGGATCGCCGAGCACCCAGCTCCAGTACAGCAGCGCGTGAAACACGTCCTTGCGCGCTAGCGCCTTGGGCTTGCCGTTGCGCCCAACCTCCTGCGCGCTCCCCGTGCGCGTGTTGCCCGTCGCGTTCAGCACCCCGCGCTCATCCACCCGCATCATCAGCCAGTCCGTGCCGCGCCGCCCAGCCTCCAGCAGACGCGATCTAATCTCCTCTGTTTCGGACCCGTTTTTCATATGCGGCGCTACGTAGAGATAGTACCGAGCCGCGTAAACCAATCCTATGCCTTGATAGCTGCAGTCGTAGCCTTGCCTTTCGTAGTTGAAACCCGCTGGATCCTGCATCTCCAATCCGCTTCGGATGTATTCGATCGATTTCAGGATTAGGGTTTGGTTGTTCGTTAGAAGCCCAGCCATGCCGAGTGCCGTACCTGTTAAGTACCGCCTGTGCGCGTGAACCGCGTCGTTTTTCCATCCGATGCGCTCGATGTCAGGTTGGACAAACCACGCCGCCATCGCTGCGATGTGCTTCTCCGCTTTCCGCAGCCACTGCTGGAAGACAGGATGCGCCGCCCAACGCGAGGATTTTAGCAGCAGAGCTGCCCGCGCCGCGGACTCCATGAAAAAGCCTGCGCTGTGGTACACATCCGGGCAGTCGAAAGACCCATCTTCCCGCTGCTGATCGAACCCCCAGTCGTATATTTTCATTCCAATTCGGGCAGCTTCGGAATTGTTGAACGCCAAACCCGCTTGAATAAACAGAAACCCGTAATACTGTTCCTCAATATACCACTTCCCCGCCCCAGTAGAGTCGTATTTCTGGTTGTGCTGCGAATACGCGCCGTTTTCGTTAGCGTGGCCATTCAAATCCGCGATATTGCGCACCGATCGGTGCTGATCCAAGGCCGTGCAGATCGCGAAAGCGTTATCCAGGCGAAAATCGCCGGGGCAATCGTTGTTCGCCGGCCATTCGCCATAAATCCTCTCGTCAAGCTGAGTAAAAAAATCCCGGCCGAGAAACTTTGCTGCGAGCGGCTGAGTGGCGAGCAACCCAACCCATGTCTGCCCGCCATTTTTCTCGCGAAAAAACGTGTCGCGCGACGCGGTGACAGGAACTGCAGCGAGGCGTCTTCTGACGAGAATCGAAGTGACAGCTGCGCGGGTGGACGGCGAATCGACGGAGTCCCAGACACCGTGAGCAATGAACCCGATCGCTCCGAAGAAATTGGCGCACAGAAATATCAGGATGGGGATTCGGCGAGGCTGGACTGATAAGAAGCTGTTTGTTGTGGAAGCCTTCGGAGTGTAGAATAAGAGTTTCTCATTACAACGAGTTGGAGACTTGAGATTGGTCGGAGGTTTCAGTTCATTTGGGAATCTAAGAGGCCTTGTTCCCTCGTTGAAGCTACGGCGATCAGCGGACGCGGATGTGTTGTGCTCGGAACGGACGTAACGTGGCGGCGCGCTCGTTGGACGGGCTGGTGTGGAGACTGGCGGTGCTGGTCTGACGCTTGTTGCTAGGAGAGCGAGGTAGGCGGCACGAGATGATGATGGCTGTGCGCCGCCATTTGGCGACATGATGTCAGTTCTGGTCTAAAAAATGTTCACATCAGAAGGAAAAAACAGAAAACTACGAGCGGAATGGATAGCGAAGCAGGAGTTGAGTGTCTGGGGATGGCGTTGGGAGTTGAGCGAACGTGGAGGAGAGGAAATGATCAAACTGGAGCCGTGCAGTGCCAGAGAGGTGTTCGACCAGGGGCCGGAAGGTCCGGAAATGACCAAACAGCTGCGCGAGGAGTGATTAACAAAGAGGCTCGTTACGACTTGCATTTTTACTCATACCTCAATTTTCTTTGGAATCGTAAATGATTTGTTTTTTCCGCCTCGTTTGGCGAGCCAGGTAGCGCTAGTGGCTGTACCGACGCTACCCGGGAAATGTTAAGGCAGCCCAAAAAATCTAAAACCAATAGGAAATCTGGACGCATTTTGGGGATGGATCAACCCTAAACACGGAAACACGGGTTGATGCCTCCCGAGTCGCATCTGTGTCCGAACGGTTTTTTTTTACGTCAGCTAAAGTGATGTTTTTTCTGGAAATCAATAATGCATTTCTGTAAAAAAAAACATGATGAACTGTACTTCCGAAGGAAAGCGACGCAGGCTTTGTGTTAGGCGGCGATTATAACCTGTAAAAGTAACATTGAACCAAGAATGTCGAGCTTTTATTTTTTTCCTTCAAATCTTGCTTCGAATTTTCGGCCTAACCACGTGGGCAAACCCGGGTGTGTATCCAACGGTTGGGATTAACCCAGCCCTAATTCGGTCACCTCCCTGCTACTGTTCGGACCCTATTTGATCTTTTCCCGAGGAGAGACGAGACGAGCAGCTGTAGGTGAAGCCTGGCCAGACGAAACACGCAGCTTCACTCCAGCAGAAGCCTCGCAACGAAGGGTTTGTATTTCCAACCCAAACGTAGAAACCAAAAGCGGAGATGGGAAGCCAAGGGCAGGCGACAACCAAACACAAGGCTGGTCCACAAGGCTTGGAAATCGGTTCGGGACCAAGCCGAAGGTCCCACTTTCTGGCCTCGAACCAGAGCTGTTTCATGGTTCGGAAGAGTCTGGTGGCTCGGGATGGAAGTTGAAGCACCCCCAGCCACACAGAGATTATCGTCACTCGTGCCGTCTGTTATGTACTGACAGTCGGGAGCCTGGCTACAGTGCGAACGTGTGCTTGGATTTAGCGGGCTGGTGCTTGCAACCGAAACCCTGGTAGGTGGCGGGCAAATCCACTCCAGGCGAACGGTGCACAGCGGTTCTATGAACGTAACGTAGCTAGTGCGTACGGTTGA